GGGCGCCGTTCCCCGCTTTCATTGGCAAGGTTGTCCCCGACTTCAGGATGAGATCACCAAGTGCAGAAACAAAGCAGTGGCTGAGGAAGAGCAGATTAAGTTAGTACATTGAAAGTAGAAGCGGGGATGCACAGGCACGTGGACACACGTGGTAACACAGCAGCGAGCTATTTGTTTACTATCGATCCAAGGCAAAATAAATAGATTCCTTGAGAGTCATGTGCAAAAAGTTCATTCAGAGCAAGTCTACATCTATATACTCGTCAAGCCTCATTAATCAAGCAATAAACCAGCCGTCTATAAGGAACCAAAGCCAGAACATGTCTAATCACACCGCTGCCGATGCAAACGAAATCATCAAACTCAACCATACATGTTTACTCCTCGTCATCAGTATCCGGGGGCTTGGGTGTGCCCTTGGGCGATTGGAGCCTGCGAGAGTCAGTAAGGGGAGTACTTGAGACAAGATAGTGGGACGTACCATTCAAGATGACGGAGACGGCGGCGGGCCTCACGCTCCTTCAGCTGAGCACGAGTGAGCTTCTTCTTCTTCTTAGCCTTGAACTTCAGCTCGCCCGGCTCCTCCGCTCCCGAGTTGACGGCCGAGGCGGCCGCACTCGTGGCAGTCGAGTTGACTGCCGTGCTGCCGGGCTGAGGAGAGCTGGCAGCGCTGTCCTCAAACCGGTCGAGCGAGATAGCAGTGTTGGTGCGAGAGACGATGCGACCGTCGGCGACGTGCAGCTGCTCGGGGCAGAGAGCACCCACGAACTCTTCGTTGTGAGAGATCATGACAACACCACCCTTGAAGTCACGGATGGCCACAGCCAATCCACCCAGGGAGTCACGGTCCAAGAAGTTAGTCGGCTCGTCCAGGACGAGCAAGTGAGGGTTGTTCCACATAGCACCCGCCAACACGACCTTGACCTTCTGACCACCGGACAGACCGGAGATCTCGTTGTGGTTGGCAATCTCGGGATCCAGACCGATGTCCTCGAAGTGCTTCGAGATGACCTTGGGGTCGAGCACACGGAAACCAAGACCCTCGCGCGACGCCTCGTGGTCGTCAAACTCTTGGACCAGCTTGAAGAAGCCGAGGTTGAGCAGAGTCTCACGGGAGATCATCGTGTTGTGCTTGGGCAGAAGGCCAACCCATTTACTGCACGAGTTAGCAATGAACAGGGTGGAAAGATCCGTTGAGTACTTACACTTCATACTGGAAGGACTTCTTCCACTTCTGGCGACCCATGAGCGCCTCGATACGGCGAGGTCCACGGCCATCACCCAGGTCAACCGGCTTCTGCAGCTGAGCCTTGTCCTCCTCGGTGAGGATACGGGTCTGCTTCAGGTAGACCTCGCGATCGTCACCGTTGGCGTAACGCCACTGCAGGTACTGGCTGGGGGTCTTCTCCAAGTGCATCTCGACGTGTTCCAGGGCGTGCTGCTTGATGTAACCGATACGCAGGTTGGGGTGCTTCTCGACCTTACCGGTCTGAGGGATGGTTTCACCCGTGAGCATCTTAATGAAGGTCGATTTACCGGCACCGTTGCCACCAATGATAGCGACACGGGACGACAAAGTCAGAGACAGGGACGCGTCAGTGAGAGACGGCTTGCTGGCGCCGGGGTAGGTGTAGGTGCAGTTGGTCATGCGCAGGATGGCACGGGTGTTGGACTTGATACCAGCCAGGATACCGGGGGGAGGGAATTTGAATTGAACGATGCTCGCCGACAGGGTGTAGTAGCTCTTGGCTTCGGGCTTGACCTTGACGAAATCAGCCAAGTTACCCTTGTAGCAGACAAGCTTCTTCTGTTCGTAGTGGTAGATGTCCGTGCAGACTTCATCCAGGAAGCCCGAGTCGTGAGAGACGATCAAACTGGTGATGTCGGTGTGCTTCTTCAGGTACTCCTGGAGCCACTTGACGTTGGCCACATCCAAGTGGTTAGTCGGTTCGTCCAGCAGGAGGACGTCCGCCTTGCGCAGCATGGCACGCGCCAGAGCGAGCTTCATCTTCCATCCTCCGGACAGGGAGCCCACACGCTGGTTCTGACGACCCTCGGGACCGTCCGTGAAGCCAAACTCGAGCAACACGCTACGGATGTGCTCCTCGCCTTCAGCAGCAATCATGGGATCCTTGGAGACGTACTCGAAGATGCTCAGATCGGCATCTTCGCCCTGGTTATGCTCGACAAAGCAGGTACGAACCTCGCTCTGTGGGGGGAAGCCCTCCAGCTTCTCGTTGGCGATACTGCGCATGAGCGTCGATTTACCAGCACCGTTGCGACCGCACAGACCGTAGCGGTGGCCCTTGAGCAGACGAAGGTTGGTGTGGGACAGCAGAAGCATACCACCGTAGGCCAGAGAGAAGTTGGCGTTAACAATCTCGACCTCATTGGGGTCCTCGGGGGCGGGCTTGCCGAACTTGCGGTGGTCCTCTTCGATGAAGTGCTCCTGGACGGCGGTGGCGACCGCGTCGTGCTTGTCCTCGTGCAGCAGACCGCGCAGGTACGGGGCAATGCAAGCGGGAATACGGTCGTGCATGCGGCAGTTGACATCCTCGCGAACCATCTCGGCGACGTAGTTCTTACCCAGGGCATACAAGGTGGCGTCCTCGGGGCGTGCCAGGCCGCCGTGCTCCTGGATCTTAGCCTCCAACACGGCCAGGACTTCCTCGGGTGTGATCTTCACAACCACACCAGCGGCCACATCCTTGTCGGCCATGGCTTTCTCGATGACGTCCAAGGCACGAGTGGCGAGCTCACGAACTTCGGGCAGGGAGGCACGGTCCTTGACGCGCTGGACACCGGGCTTCAGCTTAGGCAGGAAAGTACGAGCCTCAGCGGGGTCGTGGACGAGCTTGGTCAGGTTCTCCACGACGACGACAGTCTGACGCAGAGTCTCCTGGGGAGTCGTGGGGGCGTTGAGAGAACGTTCGAGCAGGGGCGTCAGCAGAGCGAGAACGGGGGAGGTGACGATGGCGACGAAGGTAGTCTGGGACAGGGCGTGGATGGCCTTCTGCAGAGTCTGCTCGGATGGCTGCTCCATGGTCTTGATCAGAAGGGGAATGCGGGGAGCCACATCGTCGTTGGACAGAAGAGTGGTGAGAGCGTTCATCGCCTTGATAGCCTTCTTAGCGACCTCGTTCTTCAGGTCGTGCATGCCGGACTCGACCAAGGGGATCAGATCCTTCAGGGTCTTGCCCATGGCCTCACGCAGGAGGTCCTTCTCGCGCTCCTCCTCCAGGGGTCCAGTACCCATTTGCGCCTTGGTAGCCATCTTCTCGATGAGGCTGTAGGCACCGACGAAACCCTGCCACTTGGCTGTACTCTGGTTGAGATAGGCGGAGACGGCGGGGAGGAGGGCGTTGACCATCGCCTCGGGCTTGAGGCACGCAAACAGCGCATCGATAGCATACTGAGCAGCATCGCGCACGACAGCACCCTTGTCGGCCAGCAGATCGAGGGCCAGGTTCAGGACACCACCGTCCTGCAGAAGGAAGACGACTTCGCTGAGAGGGTGTTCGCGGGGGAATCGCTCGAAGAGGGCGCCCAGGATGAGCATGGCGCTTTCGCGGAGGGCGCCATTCTTCTTGTCGGTGGCAGCCTTCTTGATCGGGGGCAGGATGTTGTATGTACGGAAACCGGAGCAGCCGACACTCTGGATCAACAGGTTGGTGAGGGCGTAGGAGGCATCGAGGGCCTGCTGAGAGGTCTCGGCCTGGAAAATGGTGTTCAGGATGGAGCCGACCTCATCCGCGGAGGGAGGAACACCGGAGGGGGTTTTGGAGACGACGGTAGTCATGGCTGGGGTAGGATCTTCAGGATGAGGCATGATATCGTAAGATCTGTGGGTTTGGGGGTTCTGGGCCTCTCACACCGGCCGGGGCGGCGGGCAGGCTGAGAAAAAAAAAAAAAAAGAAGCGAAAAAGAAAAGGACAAAAAGAAAAGAAACGAGACCAAAACTTTTAGTGGGCAATCCTCGGCAAGGATGCGTATAAACAGAGAAACAGAACGGGGTATACAACAAGGAGAAGGAGAAACAAAGAGGGGAGATTTGGAGGAGAGGAGAGGAGAGGAGAGGCGAGGGAAGTTGAAAGGCGAGCGCAAGAGGAAAAACAAGATGGAGGCGGGGCCGATAACGAGCCTGAGGATTTTTAGGCGGCGGCCCATTGGATCGGGCGGCGATGAAATCTCTGCCTCAGGCGAGGGGCTGATAGCCTATCATCCAGGCACGCGTGGCTGGGTTGTGGCGGTGCCAATCCCTTGCTAGCCTGATGTATCAGGTGTCATTTATACCATCATTGCCTAATATATCAGGTGTCAGTTTAGTCAGTTTCTGCCTGAAACGCGGTAATATAATGCCTGAGGCTGCCATAACGCCGCCGTTGCCCGATTGGGCTTACCCCGCACGGGGGCTCCACCTCGCCGGACCAAAAATGGAGTCAAGCATCCACTGCCAAATGGGAGGATCAGCTTCCCTTTCTTCCCTCTGCTGTTCCGAACATCCATCGTCCATGGACTTGTGAAGGGAATGCATGGTACCAAAGCACTTCTCTGCTCTTGCGGTTGGATCTTCCTCATCCCCGATGTCGCCTCACCGCATTGTACGATCGATCGACCCCTCACAGGAGTCCCCCGAGGCCCGGCGTGACGGGATCTGCAGCCAAATGGATCTAATTACACCATGATGATAACTAAAAGTGCAGCGCGCGCTCTACTGCACACTACCGATTTAGTCCGACGGCCGGCTCGGCCTCGCATCGGCGGTGAGGATGTGCACGACAGAGGGTGGATTGGACGCTGACTGCTTATGGCTGATTGTGTTGACCGTCCGCATGCAGCCGTGCCTTGCCTCGGCTCCTCAACACCGCGGCCAACCGAACGGCCACTCGCTCTCCTTCCGGGTGAATTTCTCCTGACTCTGCTTTGTACTCTGCTCCGTGTACATAATTCCTACTCTCTCTCGTCTTTGTTTGCACATTCAGCCTTCCCGAACACTCATCATGTCTTTCTCCATGCCGATACGTCCAACAACCCGTCATGCCAGCCGGCTGGCTCAGGTACATACCCCTCCCCCTTGATGGCTTGCCTATCATTGCTGACAACCCCAGGCCAAGATCCGCTCCGGCCGGCTTTACAGCACCGAATCAGACCTCAAAACCGCCCTGAAATCCGTCATTCCCGAGAAGCGGGAGCTCTTCAAGCAAGTCAAAGCTCGCAGCGACGATGTGGTCGGCGAAGTCAAAGTGGGCAACATCATCGGCGGCATGCGCGGCCTGAAGTCCATGCTCTGGGAGGGATCCGTACTGGACCCCGAAGAGGGTATCCGTTTCCACGGCAAGACCATCAAAGATTGCCAGCGTGAACTCCCCAAGGGCACCACGGGAACTGAAATGCTCCCCGAGGCCATGTTCTGGCTGCTCTTGACGGGCCAGGTTCCCACCACTAGCCAGGTGCGCGCATTCTCTCGCGAGCTCGCTGAGAAGTCGCATCTCCCCGACCACATCCTCGGCCTGATCAAGTTATTCCCCAAGGACATGCACCCCATGACGCAGCTGTCGGTGGCGGTTGCAGCGCTGAACACCGAGTCGACATTCGCCAAAGCGTACGAGCGCGGCCTGAACAAGGCAGACTACTGGGAGCCCACGTTCGATGATAGCATTTCGCTGCTGGCCAAGATCCCGCGTGTGGCTGCATTGGTGTTCAGGTCGAACGAGATCGATCAGGTCGGGACGCAGGCGCTCGACGCGACACAGGACTGGTCGCACAACTTTGCCGAACTGCTGGGCAAGGGCGGGGCCGAGCACGCGGACTTCCACGACCTGCTGCGACTGTATCTGGCGCTGCATGGCGACCACGAGGGTGGCAACGTCTCAGCGCACGCGACACATCTGGTGGGCAGTGCCCTCAGCGACCCGTTCCTCAGCTACAGCGCAGGACTGCTGGGTCTGGCCGGCCCGCTGCACGGACTGGCGGCACAGGAAGTGCTGCGGTGGATTCTGGCGATGCAGGAGAAGATTGGCACGCAGGTGACAGACGACTCGGTGCGCACGTACCTGTGGGACACATTGAAGTCGGGACGGGTGGTGCCGGGCTACGGACACGGCGTGCTGCGCAAGCCGGACCCGCGATTCGAGGCATTGATGGACTTCGCAGCTACACGGCCAGATGTGCAGGCGAACCCTGTGTTCCAACTGGTGAAGAAGAACTCGGAGATTGCGCCAGAGGTGCTGACGCAGCATGGAAAGGTATGTTCCTGGTCACCACCTGTTTAGTATCAGACTAACATATCATAGACGAAGAACCCCCACCCCAACGTGGACGCCGCCTCTGGCGTGCTGTTCTATCACTATGGCTTCCAGCAGCCACTGTACTACACAGTAACCTTCGGCGTGAGTCGGGCGCTGGGACCTCTGGTGCAATTGATCTGGGACCGGGCCTTGGGATTGCCGATTGAGCGACCGAAGAGTATCAATCTGAAGGGATTGATCGGCAACTGAGTTGATATAATTGACTGTTCTGTATCTAGCCCCGAGTAAGCAAGCATCATGTAGAAGTCATATCTCGTTATACCCATATTACTCCAATTAAATACCAACAACAGAGAGGATCGTATCACTCCCTCTCAACCCTAACCTCCATAATCTTCTGAATCCTCCACCCACTCCCATTCCCATTCGCATTCCCACTCGCCCCAGCACTCCCCGTAACCATACTACTCGAACTCCCACCCCCAACCGCACTCACCCCAAACCCACCTCCTCCATACCCGGCCTCCAACATATCCTCATCAACACCAAGACCATCCCCAGCAAACCTCCCCTCCCTGACCCTCGCCACCGCCGGCAAACTACAAATCGTCGTCGTCGTCGGCGCCACCCCACTCCCATCCCACACCCCTCCATACCCCCCACCACCAGGACTACAACTCCTCTCCTCCCTCCTACTACCCCGACTCCGACTCCTACTCCTACTCCTCACCGACCGGCCCTCCTCACTCGCACTCGTCCCAAACAACATCCCACTCTCCAATCCCAACCCATCCATCCCCAAGCCCCGTGCAACCTCATCTAAACTCGCATCCACTAGATCGCGACTCTTCTTCCTCCCCCCACTAGTAACTATCGAGCTCGCAGTGGTATTCCTCGTCTGCGTCTTCCGCAACGGATACGACGTACTCGTCGTCGTCGTGGGCGAGGTCAAATACGTAAGCGTAGCGTAGGTATTATGCGGATTGTTATATGTATTGTTTGTCGTGTATGTGCGGTTGTTGTTGTAGCTGCTGGATAAGGTGGATGCGAAGGCGTGGAAGAATGGGCCGTACGTCGGGATGCAGGTTATTATTACCTATACCATTAGTGTTATTAGTATGATGGGGGAAGAGGGAAGATGGGATGACATGGGATTGGGGGAAGCATACGCCTAGACTGATTTCCACGTCAGACCAGATGACGATGGGTTGGCTGTCTGTGTAGGTTTTTAGGTTCTTGATTGTGAAGATTCGGATGATCTGGATTATTGTTATGAAGAAGCCGAGGGCGAAGACGCCGACGAGAGCTATCTGTTTTTTTTTTATAGGTGTTAGTTTGTGTGTTGGGGGGTGGTGGAGGGGTAGATTGGGGAGAGGTGGAGGAATACCTTTTGGCGTAGACGCAATTGGAGGGTTAGCAGGACGGGAAGGGGGAGGGCGATTATGATTATGTCGAAGCCGAGACTGGTTCCTGTTTTCTTTAGTCAATATGTCTGGTGAGAGTGGTGGTGGTGGTGGTGGTGGTGTACCTGCGAGAGCTGGTTCATCGTTAGTATATCGTTGTAAAATAGGTATAAGGGGTTGGGCTACCATAATAAGACGCTACCGTGTCTATACATGATCCAGGGAGACTTGTATCCCATTGCCGAGCAACCTACACACATTAGCATATACCCACACATAATAAAGGAGAAGACGTACCGGATTACAAGCGAAACACAACAAGAAAGTAAACACCAACTGATTGCACGTCACCGCCACAATAGCCACGATGATCGTCACGCGGTACGCCTGCACGAAGCCCCCGATGCGCAGGTACGATGACAGCAGGGAGACTTTGAAGCCGAGTAATGCAAGTGTGTAGACGGGGCCACCGGCGTATTGGATCTACATCATATTAGACATTTATCCAACTTGATGTATATTTGATGGGGATGTACCTTGCTAAACATGACCACATTCTGATCAGGGAAATACCTTGCATCTAGACCTAGACCCCATCTTGTTTCTACCAACCACATCAGCATCATACCTTTCATATTATCATTAATGAAAGAAGAAGGTATGGAATCTCACGCGCAACAGCAATCCCAGCATACGTCATGGCCAGCAGGGCACTCCATAGCGCCGCAAAATCATCCAGCCACGCCGACCTCTTCGTATGAATGCGAATATACAGTCTCAAGAACACCGCCAAACAAGCCGTGATGGAAAACACAAGACAGATAGCAATGACGCGGGAGACATGACTGTGGGGATCAGGGACGGTCAGATTATAGACCCAGCCCATTTCGGCATGTTGAAGTCAATCAATCAATCAATCATCCACCCAAAGATTTCAGCTCAGAATCGGGCGGAGCTGAGCGATGGGGTTTGTTAATATATGATGATACGAAAATGCAGAAGTACATTCTCGCGGCCCCCCTGCAGAAAGAAAAAAAAAGAAAAAGAGGGTAGGTAGGATAGGCTAAGAAGAAAAGTGTTTACCGCTATGTCACCCTACCTTCAATCTCCTGAAATATGCAAATAAGGAATTAGGAATTTGATGGATGATGTGTCGACCCAGACCTGATCTGAACTCAATCTACGGTCTACGGCCGCACCCGGACCAGAACAGAACAGGACCGGCCGGGAGTGGAGGTCTGGTTCGTGTGAGAGGCTAATGAGAGTTTAGTACTATTTTTCATTTCTTTCATTTCTTTTTTTCTTTCTGCATAATGCTAGAGCCTGACGCTGGCTCGTGATGAGATTCGCATGTGCCTGCATGGAGGTGCACGAGGAGGGGGGAATAATGATAGGTGGGAAAGTCAGCTCTCGGTCAATGCGCGGTCCACTTTATGCAGACTAATTAGGGCACGGATCACTCTCACCATCAACTAGACAACTAAAGAACAAAAGCAAAGTGAACAGAAGAGAAAAAGTAAGGACAAGGGTATTCATCCATATCCCATCTCACCGAATAATCCCACCACAACATCCAAAACACTAATCAACTACGTAGCAAAACAAGGTTTAAAACCTTCAAGAGCTATCATCCACGGTACCGGATCTCTGGTGATTTCATATCCCGATCGCATCGGGGATAAAGGCACGAATCAAACTCGCCGGAAAAGAATTCAGTGTGAGCTTTTGAGTAACTATTGAGAAGATGTTCGGGGTTTCTCTACTGTGCGTGGTTAGGAATTAGTCGGTGTAGCCCGGGGGAGGAACTTTCAAGTAGTAGACTAGCAGGGGGGAAAGGCCCTTGTCTAGTGGACATTGATTTTAGTTAGGGAGTGTCGATCATCATCCAACCACGGAGGAACCACGGGTGAGGAGGTGTCTGCTATCTATTTGCCTTTGGCGGTTATGTGTGTGTGCGTGTATGTGTCGGGGACCTGAGCATGCATGCATGTTCATGTTCATGTTCACGTTCTGTTCATGTGGATGTGGATGTAACCGACTTGGTCTTCGTCTTCGTACTTTGTACACAGCATCATCACCATCATCATCAACATAAAAGAAGCTGATCTAGGTTTATTAAGGATGATCCGATCCAGCAATATTTATTCTTTTTTATTCCGGCCAAGTATTGAACATACCTTTCTTTTCTTCTGCTAATCCTTCTGCACCGAGTGAGGCGCACAGTAACTAAATCCTTGACTAATTCAACCAGAACCAGGATAGCCCAGCTATAACCCACACTATTATAGCACTATTAATTATTCCCGCAGCATCACCACCATTAATCCTCCCCATCCGTGCATGCACATCCCACCACAGCAGGTCCAGCAGAGAGTACGGACCACATTCATGGCATGAAAAGTAAAATACCCGACAGCCCGAACCCGATCAAGTCCGCAAACCTGGTAGCCACCATTTAAATACTATTTTATTAGAAGTAATTGAAATAAAAATAAGATTAGGTCCCCGAGCAGTGGGTATGTGTGCACGGGCAAGTTACCCAGCCACTCATGACAAGGTGTATAGAAATCTAACTATGTACTTATGAAATTGCCCAACAAATTAAAGAAGTAAACAAATAAAAAAAATCAAATGTATTTACGAATAACCTTCCGCATCAGCAGAAGACGAAACCCGACATAACCTCCCATCAGGATACATCGTCCACTCATCCGAACCCACCGCCGTCTGGCCATAAAATACATCCAGCGGGTCATATTTCTTCTTGATCTGTCGTAGTCGGGGATAGTTCACTCCGTAGAATGCTTTTTGGAAGTTGGGTTGGCGGAAGTCGCCCTACACCATCATTCATTGTTAGTCAATCATTATCCTTCATACCCCGAACAATCGATTTTGTAGTAGAAAGGAAGGAGGGATACCTCATTCATATAAGCCCCCGAATCCGGCGCCAACCGTTCCAACAACGGCAAATACTCATATGTCATTTTATACTGCTGCACTAGCATGTTCTGCCGGGCATCCCACTGCCACGGCGTCGTGAGCGTCGTATCAATCAACGTGTCCCGCCAAGCAGGCAGCACCGCATTATCCACATCCCCGACTAACGCCTTCGACACATTCAGTCCCACCCCGATAAATGTGGCACCGTCTTCCGTGATCTGGCGATAGGCGGCCGTCAAGGCGGTGTTGTTCTCGCGCACCACCGATCGCGGGATCAGCCATCCGCCGTATTGCGCTTCTCCGACGGGGATTTCAGGCATCATGCCGTTGAATTCGCTGAGGTAGGTGGGGAATTGCTCCGCGTACAGGGTGTATCTGATACCCATTTTCTCTAGGCCCTCGCGGAAGGGTTTGAGTAGCGAGATGAGCTCCTGGACGGGGATATTCGGTCCAGTCAGCGGAGCGATGTAGAAGGTCGTGTTGGTGAAGTACCAGATGCTCATGGCGCCGGCGTCGACGATGGTCGGGAGGAGGGAGTGGTAGAGGCCTACAGCCGAGTAGAACGTATCCTGGGAGATGTTGGCGTTGGTGAAAGTGAGGTTTAGTCCTGAGGTAGGCGTGCTGGTATGTAGTTTGGAGGTCATGGACCAGACAACCCCGTAAGTGCCGCCGCCGCCGCCGCTCAAGGCCCAATACAGGTCCTTGTATTCGTTGTCGCGGGTGGCGGTGATGAAGCGTCCCGTGCCGTCAATGACCTCCCATTCCAGGACCTGGTCCGCGGCGAGGCCGTAGCGCGAGGACAGGGCCGAGTGGCCGCCGCCTTGGGAGTAGCCGCCCGCGATGCCGACGGTCGGACACTCGCCGCTGACGACCTGGTAGCCGTGGGCATCGGCCGCCTCCCAGGCTTCGAAGCCCTGGACACCGGCGCCCAGACGGATGGCCTTGCCGGAGTAATGGGCGTCGTGGTGGTCGACGATGTCGATGTCCTTGAGATGATGGGTCCAGATGCCGAGGGCACCGGCACCGGTGGACTTGCCGTTGTAATCGTGGCCGGTGTTGCGGACAACGACGCGGAGGTTATGGGCGGTTGCAAAGGCCAGAGCGCGCGAGATGTGGCTGGGCTGGCTGACGTTCACGGCATATACAATGTAGTTACCCAGGGTGCAGGGCTTGGCGATGGGGTGGAAAGGATCGCACGAGCCGTTGGCGAACCAGGGGGCCATGATGGAGGAGGACGATTCATAGCTTGACTCGGTTAGTGGAAGTGTTTGCTTTTGCTAGGACGAGGCTGCGAGTCAGCCTGACTAGAAAAAAGCTTACTGGATTTCGGGCTCCGTCCATTGTTCGCGAAGGTAGTTGCACACCCCTGGTTTGTAGGTGGGATTGTGGCAGGGCTTGCCGAGAGGGATAGTCTGGATTAGTCGGCCGTCGATGGATTCATTGAATTGAGTCCATTCGGCTGGTGAGGGCCAGCATTCCTCCCCCGGGAAGCAGCGGCAGGTGGTGTTGGAGGGTTGAATGGTCACGGCTGCATTCCCTACGGCCGACAGCAGGGCCACGAGGCTGGTTAGGAGAAGTAGGCCCGAGAACATGACGGATAGGTGCAGATGGAGGAAGTCCGGGATGAGGATGACAGGAATGCCAGCGGTTTATAAAAGGAGCCGTGCCCTGTGCTAGAGTGGCAGCCATCGCGTGGCAGGAAGAACCGAAGAAGAATGACCGACGCGCTAATCCAGGGGAAATTACCGAGCAGCAGCAGTGAGCATCAGCAGTTGCGGAGAATGTTCCATGGTGGAAGTTGTTTTCAGATGCCATGCGAGTGGAGCATTGGGGTGGAGGCGACAATCAGACAGGCAGAGAAGAGACACACACTAAAGACTTAGCGGATACTCCAAGAGGGTCTGGTCAATCTGTCTGTCTCAAGGATGAAGCCATCAGCATCCACCAGGCAGAAAAGGCTTTGGGCTTGACTATCGCGTGGTGTTTCGTCAGTCCTTGCCACTAGAGAATTAGTCGACTAGTAGTTAGTTTGCATACTCAAATCAAGCCATCCTGATTCAGGATCCATCCGACCTGCAGCTTAAGCTCCTCCCCAGCGCATGCGTGGTTTTCTCTCGTGTCTGATCCTCTGTTTGCCCCTCTCCTCGTGCATCCGATCATCCCGTGCAAATGTTCTAGCCGGCCTCGTGTCGCGGTCGCTAGCGGTCAGGAGAAAGGAATAGTCCTGATGCTGACAGACAATTGAACTACCTAGTCGGTGATAGTCTAGATTTGAAGCGGGCGGTGGTCCAGCGGTGACTTGACGGATGGGTCGGCGGACGTTCCCTCCGGACAAATCAGGACAGGATGTGCGGATCAGCAAGGGATCATGCTTTGGGCATCCCGTGGTGCGATCGCTGTCTACTGCTGTACCAAGTAGATACTCTGCTTGTACTGCTTGCTGGTACATTGGATCTTTGGAATCATCTGTTGGTTGACTTAGGGTTGCTATCTGACCAGTCTTCCGCACGAGTCAGTTCTCCGATCGCGACTAGTTAGTAATACTAAAACATGAATAAGACCTCCCCCCAAAGGTCCTAATACATCAGCATGGTCATGAATCGTCATATATATATACGCTTCTGCCTGTTATTTACAACTTCGCCTCACCCGCGGCGAGACGTTGCCAATCTTTCTCACCAAACTCTATGTAACCCTCCGCGCCCGGAGGCAACCAAAACAGCCGGTCGCGGTGGCCCTGCACCACCTTCGATCCCAACTTGCCGGGCTCCACGCCCTCCTGGCGCAGCGGCCCCTTGTTCTGCTTATGATTATGAATATGCCATGACTGTTCCACGACGCGCAAGAACACCGGCACCGCATACCGCGGCAGCTGTGCACGCGCGAACCGGGCCAGTTCCTGCCCGTCGAACCCGCTGCGCGCCTCGGGACTGAGCAATAAGGCCGCACATCCTGCACGGCCTTCATGATGAGGCACTTTCACTCCATACACATTGGCTTCCTGGATGCCAGGATATTGGCCCAGCACTTGGGCCACTTCTGCTGTAGACCTGCAAAGCAATTAGTCAACACCCCAATGACAAATAAGCACAATGCAAGGGGTAAGATGGGAAGGAAAACATACACATTCTCACTCTTCCACCGAAACGTATCCCCCAAGCGATCCAGAAAATACCACCGTCCATCCCTATCCCTCCTCAACGCATCTCCAGACCGATACCACAAATCCCCCTTGACCAAAACATCCCTCATGAACTTCTTCTTCGTCGCTGCCTCATTACGCCAATAGCCCTGAAACGCCGTCTCATCCGGCACCTTGACCAAGATCTCCCCGCCCTCATCATACTCCGCCCGCCTGGCCAGCCCGGTCTTCTCATCGCGCACTGCATCCCCCGTCTCCGCATCCACCACAACCGGCACATACGTATTCCTCAGACTCGTCCGCAGTAACAACCCATGATGTCCGACAGCTCCTGCCGTGTACGGCCCGCGGTTGAGATTAAACAGCCCGAAGATTCCCTCTGTGCTGTTGAAAAACTCCCCGACCTCGGCCACCCCGAACCGGTCCCGAAACCGCTCCCACACGTCCGGCCGCAGTCCATTCCCGTACATCATGCGCACCCCGTGGTCCCGATCTTGCGGGGATGGTGGCGCGGCCAGTAGATACCGGACTACTTCGCCAACGTACACGAAGACCGTGGCTTGTGAGGCCCGAATGTCGGGCCAGAAGTTGCGCACACTGAATCGCGGCGCAATGGCGATGCTGCGTCCGCCGACTATGTTGGTGATCATCGCGATCGCCGAGGTCCCGTGGTACAGCGGCATCGCGCTGTACCACCTATCCCCGCCGGGGCCGGACACGTTCGTCATGTTGCTGTTACGGACGGCCTGGGTGGAATACATCCGGGAGGTGGTGAAGGCGCAGCCTTTCGGCAGGCCCGTTGTGCCGGACGTGTAGAGGAGGATGGCGGGAAAAGCGCCGGGGACGTGGGTGGCCAGTTGGCCATCGTTTGGCACGGAGGTCGGAAACGAAAGCAAATGGTTACTGAAGGCGTCGTCAACAGTGACGAGCTGCATGCCCAGCTCATTCTCGATCGTCGATCGTCGCTCCTCGATGCGAGCCATACAATCGGGCTCCGGATCAACTAGCAACAACTTGGCGCCGCTGATGGACAGGCAATGCACCAGCGCATCGCCAGTCAGGTTGTAATTGATGGCTGCGGGGGCGCAGCCGATGCTCCAGAGCCCTAACCAGGCGAAGATGAATTCCGCCCGGTTCTGCAGGTAGAACGCCACTAGGTCGCCCTTTTGCACTCCCTTCGACCGGTAGAAGTGGCCGTACCGGGCTGCCGTGGCTAGGGCTTCCCGGTACGTGTAGGACTGCTCGCGCGTCCAGATACAGACCATGTCGGGGTACTGCGATGCTGTGGCTGCGAAGATGGGCCACATGCTTAGCTGCCCTTGTGCGGTGGCTTTCTCTGTGTTGCGGAGGGAGCGCCGTATGGCTAGCATGCTGCGCGCATCGTTGGTGAGGTGAAATTTGGCATCTAGGTAGGCGGCTAGAGCGATGGCTGCGGCCGCTGTTGATGTTGCTGCGCGGGGATGGATGTTAGCGCTGTGCTACACGACCTACATAGTATACAAGTCCAAGGGGTTGGGGGGTGATCACCTAACGCCATGGTCAGGCCGGTTACCAAGTGTGTCGCTGAAAATGCAGTGAAGGGAGGAACTGAATGTCAAAATGGAGGTAATTTAGTTTGTCAGGGCATGAGGGGAGGGAGATGGTAGATAGATTTCATTGCCGACCACATCCTCGGTCCAAGCTACTATGTATGTCTCTCCGCATCCGGACATCATGCAGGGAGGCGCCGGGGAGCAAATCACCGGTGTCCCAAGGGCTAATGCGGCGGGGGTGCGGTCAGTTTCTCCTCCTTCTGGTTCTCAACCTCGGGTCAATTAGCTGGCCCTCAAATTGCTTTTTTGGGGAGGGAAAGAGAGGAATGTTTGGAACGGAGTGGGTCGCGGAGCTTCTTCAGGATCCATAATTCTAGGAGGTTCAACGTTGCGGTTCCCACCCGCTCTGGCGATGACCCAGTGTTTTGCCCCAACGGATCGGTTATTTATCTATGCAACACGTGTGCTGCGGTTACCAGGTTTCTAGCTATCTAGCTGTCTACCATGGTATTGTGCACTATTCTGTGGCTTGGTGGGGCGTAGATCGGAGGGAAGAGTGATGACAGATCATCCAGGGGCTCCCTTTTTTGAGTCGGTGTGATGTATGCAAGGGAGAATGCCGCAGTGTGATATATACTCTTCTCGGTGAAGAGTGGTTTGCCCCCGACTAAAGTTTGTCCGGTTGCGCATGCCTGAGCTGCTGATGGTCTTGACCTCGAGCAAACAACCAGGCTGCATCTACGTAGGTTCTAGACAACATCTCGAATTTCTCTCTCCGGGATCAATCGCGCATGCACTCCTCTTTCATCCGGATGATGCTCCTTCCACGTCCAGGCATCGTCCTTCTCGCGTCCGTTCGACACCCCGTTCAACGCGTTGGCCACGTATTTGCCAATGGTCGGAAGGAACTTGTAGCAGTGGAATGAACCTCCTACTGCGAAATAAAGATTAGACAGTCGGTCGTCTGGATGGCGGGTGATGAGCGGATGCTGGCTGGGCGAAATTGCATCCCAGCATATGCGCCAGTAGTCGGGGCGGGGATGGTCCTCGAGGAACTGTGGCAGACGCGGTCGAATGGCGTGCAGATGATCTTCTTGCAGTGCCTCAGGAACATGAACCTGGTCTGCTAGTGGCACTGAGATCTCGTGTCCGGACGCAGTGCGGATGGTGTTCTTGAACGAAGCGGCGGTCGTGAATTTGAGGATCCCCTCCGCAGTGGGAGGAATGACCTCGCCTGAGTCGTCAGCATGTCCACGCCAGGCCAGGATATAACCCACCTTGTCCCCCGTAGACAAACACCGGCAGTTGCGAATAGCTGGATTTCTCCTCCGACGAGAGTTGGAAATGCGAGACTGTTACTCCCGCCGCTGATACCTGTTGCTCTACTCGGTCTGGTTCCGGCAGGTCCAAGTCATCCTCCACCGAGGACATGAGCTGACTTGTCCATGCACCTGTGGCCAACAAGACCTTTCGAGCATGGTAGATGGTGCCGTCTGCTGTTTTAACACCACTGACTCCCTGTTCGTCACGAACAATTCTGCGTGCTTCCCCAACCTCATATCGGACTCCCAGCTTGATCGCTTCTTGTGCCATCAGCTGCAACGCCTTTCCTGCGTCCGCCCAGCCGGCGGATGAATTATAGTAGTATGAGCCGAACGGGGAGCAGTCTGTTTTCTCGAGCAGTCCGCCCCATGCGTGACGGACCTTCTCTTCGGTCCATTCCTCGAAGACGTCGCCGCGACCATAATCGCGGAAGTTCTTCCTTATCAATGCGGGGACATCGCTATCTTTCTCTTCCATAGCAATCCACCCCGAAGGGTGATAGACTTGTGCATCTTGGAAGAACGGCAGCGACTTCCACGCTTCGATGGCCTCGAAACCCAGAGCGACGTAGAGAGGGTTGGTATAATCTGCACGAATGATCTTGTTGATATCGGTAGATGCCGCGGGGGTGGATGGTGGGGCGGCGCGATCCAACAGGACGATCTGTGACGGTCGCTCGAGCTGCTGGGCAAGATGGTAGGCTGTGCTGACACCAAAGATGCCAGCGCCCACGATAAGAATATCTGGGAGGTCCCGGGAGGTATCCATGGGGGAGGTGGGAGGTGGAAGATGAGTGGTGGTGATGGCAGATGAAGGTTGACAATGTGATGGACCACGTGCGGGGAAAGAAAGAGGAGAAACAAGGAGGGGGAGAAAGGCAGGATAAGCAAGATAATAAAAGCATTCATTCCATTCATCGCTGGCAACCAGACGAGAAAGTGTTATCAATCCAACCAGCCAGCCATCCAACCAACTAAGCGGGATTGCATCCCTCCAGCCAAACCCCTCGATCACGCGCCGAGTGAGTCTCGGAGTCTTCCGCTTTTTATTGCGCTGAAGCCATCATGGCATAAGCATGAGTCCATCCATCCTGACAACCCATCTTCCTTCTTTCCATCTCCGCCTTCCTTCTCATCATCGTCATTCTTCAACCCCTTGGTACCCTCTTACCGGATTCCATCCCGAACTTGGGGGCTTGGTGCTGCTCGCCCTGCATTTCCATCGGGCCTTGAAGCTTAGCTTCGCATAGTTAGCGATCAGGTACGAGAAATGATGACCATGCCACATGGGTGCCCCTCTGCTGTCGTGGCGCTTTCTTCACGTCCCTTTGCATTCACTGCCATTCACTGCTCTCGCCGGTCTCGGTGCTACTCGTGAACCTCGTCTGCGCCTTCATTCTCTCCCCCTCATCCCCATCTCCTCTTCTGCCTCGCCGACTAAGCAGCCCCGCGAACGACTAATCACCCCGCCGTCATCATGGCGTCCTCCTCTCGTTATCAGTTGGCTGACATTTTGAAAATTAATCCTGCAGCTGATCACCACTGTCTCGGTCTCTCGCACTCTTACAACCGTCGCTGCAACAATCTGATCAGCTATCAGAAGCGTCAGGAAGCTCACTCCCTGATTGAACGAGGCTCCCGCGTATTTGCAGCTACCTCTTCCATATCCGCTGTCGATCCGCTTCTTGTCGACATCGCCAGCCTCCTTCTCTGCCCCAACCAGCACCGATACCAATTCTTGACCCTGGTCGCCCAGTGGGAAGCGAAACTGCAGCGGTATCTAGCTGAGCAGCGATCCGGCGCTCCCATCGCAGTCATGTCAAACAGCTACTTTCACATGCCCCCCAACCCCACCATCATGGCTACGGGTAGTGGGATTGCGGTCACCAACCTGACAACCACCCATGGGCCCGGCTCATCGAGCAGAATCACCATCCAGCATGGCATGGTCGGGATGGGTGCAAACCATCATCACCACGTGCAGAGCCCAAGACCCCGAGTCGAGATCATCCGTCCCGCGGGCGACCCTGTTGCTGCTACCACCTCGATGTCAGCCTCAGCTTCCAGCAGTGCTTCCCCTTCTCCGCACGCCAATTCTGCATTCCATCACCGTCCCCACACCCCGGCTGTCCAACTCGTCAGCAGCACCTTGATCGCTTCGGGCCATACTCACCCCGCCCATCAAGGAAGTCCGAGACCACTTCCGTCTGGACCAAACACTATATCTATGTACTGCGACTCACCTACCGCCCCAAAGCATCATCGCGTCAAGCCTCGCCCTGTGGATGGCGACTGCGGAATATGTCTTCTCCCGTATCTGGATGAGAGTATGCGCTGCGACATGTCCGACGATGGGCGAACGGACGACGATGAGGATGACGAATGGGAGGAACTGGACGGTAAGCTCCTTTGACTTCACTAACTCTATACTTGAACGGTGCTAACGTACTGTGAATGTAGACGAAGAACTTGCCGGCCCGGACTACGATCACGGCCTTCTGGTCTGGTGCCGGGGATCCTGCGGGACCAACTACCACCGGGCATGCTTGGAGCAGTGGCTCGACACCTTTGACACCCTGGAGCCGACGTGCCCGACCTGCCGCAACTACTGGATTCTTTAGATGAGAAGCTGGAGGAACGAGGAAGGAGGAATGCATACCGGGAGTTGTTATTTTCTTTATTACTGGAATTGATATCCAACGGAACTCTACGCTTCTCATGGCTTACCGGAGTTTACACTGGGAGGGAGGAACAAGGAATATGGCTATGGATATGGAGTTAGAGGACTGGGTTTACAGCATGGCTTGATATGATATGAACAGAAATTTTCAAATGCAGCTAATAATATGTACAGCCTAAGCTACTTTTGCCCATATAGTCAAGGTAACGCAACTAAAGCCTCGCCACCCGCTTCTCACTCTCCCGCCCATTCAACCACTCGAGAATAGTCTCCACCAGCCCATCAATTTCCTCGACCGTATTCCCCGCATGCAGACACACTCTTACCCGCTCTTTCCCCTTGGGCACCGTAGGCGACATGATCGGATGCACCATGAACCCCCTTTGCTGACACGCGGCCGCCAGCTGGCGCGGCACGGGACTGCGCAGCGAGAAGATAGGCGAGCGCGGGAAATGGTCCACTTCGAAGATGGCGGGATCCCAGGATCCAAGGCCATCCAGACGGTTACCCAGGTACTGGATGAGGTGTTGCAGGTTTCGTTGCGGCTGGTGGGTACAAGTTAGCTATACACTGCAAATCAATGGGATCTCTACTACCAGAAAGTAACATACCACTTCCGTCTCCCCCTCGGACAGCAGCTCATACGCCGTGCGAATCGACGCCAGGAACGGGAACCCTAAAGCCGTGGTGTAGATGAGACTGCGGGCATAGTTGATGAGGTACTCTCTTGTGTCGGGACAGCAGAGCACGATTGCTATAAATCAAGGTCAGTCAGTAACCAAACCCACTGGATCTTTAAATGAAAGAGAAGAAAGAAAAGAAAAGAAGGTGACTCACCACCATGACTAGCCAACGCCTTCCCAAACGTATGCACACGGATGAACATCTTCTCCTCGACCCCCAACTCCTGCACCACGCCCGCTCCCCTCGGCCCAAATGCCCCCGTTGCATGCGCTTCATCGACCACAAAATACGCATTGCCAGCCGTCACCACCCTCTCGACCACCTCCACGAACTCCCGGATCGGCGCAATATCCCCATCCATACTATAAATGCTCTCAATCACCAAAAACACATTCTTCTTCCCGTTCCTCACCATCTCATCACCCTCCACCTCTCTCCTTAACACATCTTCCAGACTTCGGGGACAGCTATGCGCAAAGGGAATCTTCTTGCCCGCGCGGGATAACCGCATTCCCTCGTGCGCACTAGCATGGATGTACTCATCATGTATGATGATATCCCCCGGTTGAGGGATGCATGAGAGCACGCCTACGTTTGCGTCGAAGCCCGAGTTGAAGAGCAGTCCGCTGGGGGCGTTGTGGAAGTCTGCGATGAAGGACTCTAGGGCTTCGGCGTAGGGAGAGTTTCCTGTTAGTAGGCGGGAGCCGCCGCTGGCGAAGGGATAGAAGGGGGGTGCTTGGGCAAGGTGGGAGGTGTAGCGGGCGCGGAAGAGAGGGGAGGTGCTGAGGGAGAGGAAGTCGTTGGAGGAGAAGTCGGTGGAGGTTTCGGGGATGAGGGTTAGGCGGCGGAGGGATTGCTTGGATTTGCGCCGGTGGAGGGCAGCGCGGAGGGAGGTGCGGAGGGAGGGAGGGGATTTAGAGGAATCCATTGGGTATGTGTGTGTATGTGTATGTGTATGTGAGGGAGGAGAGAGGTTGCTAGTGAGGGCAATTGATCAATGCTTCTTTGAAGAAGAAGAGAAAGAGTGAAAGGAAGAGGAATTAATGAAGCGAAAGAGTAGATAAATCGAGACGAGAATGAAATTGAATCCCAAACATAGTAGTAGTATCAACTATTAATCTCCGGGGGAAATCAAGACACTAGATAACTAGATATACAGATAGTAGATAAAAAGGCGAATGTGAAATCGGGCCAGATCTCCGCCATGTTCCCTTAGCAAACTGAACTAAATGAACTAGACTCATAATCAGTTAGTTTCCCATCACACCGGAAAGGCGTGGAGAGAGGGAGAGACAGAGGGGAGGGGATTTTCACACCAACTGCCAACTGATTCCCGGGTGGATCCAGCAGGGCGTGTGCCTGACGGAGTCAATTGGATTAGTAGTAGCTTAGTACGTAGTTTACCAACTGGGATTGGTATTAGCCAGCCATCTAGGTAATCTCCGAAACAACAATTGATGGGTTGGTTCATTTCATCTTCATCGTTGGTTGCCTGAGCGGCAGTTTTTGTTTCGATTGGTTTTCTGGTGGCTCTCTAGCGTTATGGGGCTTTTCGGAGCAGACCAGGAAAAAAAAAAAAAAGGTGGGAAATGGATGGATACCTCGGGACGGAAGGCAGCATTAGATAGTAGCAATAACATAACAGAAATTGAACCCGTTCGGCGGATGTTGTGGGTTGACTGTTGGGGGAAGATCAAGGATTCAACCGGTGGGGAGGGAAACTAACTAACTAAAGTACTGCCCTGTATTATTATTATGCTGATTATTCTAAATGTCGGCTGGATGCCTGATTGAGTGGCAGGCTGCCTGAGTGCCTCATTGATTGCCTCGGCTATTTTTCCGCCTTGCAGGCTGCATATCCCGCTGTCATCAATCATCCACCCTTATCTTGGGAAAACCTAAAGAGTGAAAGTGACTTTCTTGATAGCCATATACTTGGTACAAAATAAAAGTACCAATTCCTTGAACTCCTCCTTTCCCCTTGCCGCTTTATATATATTTTCTATTCTTTCTATTCTTAATTCTTCCAACTTCCTCCCTGGCTGCCTCCAGCCATGCCCCCCGTCGGTGCCGCCCTTTGGCGTTCCCTGCGCGCCCACCAGGTCTACGGTGCCAACACCGACGTCGGCAAGACCATTGTATCCACCGTTCTCTGCAATGCCATCCAACGCCTCAACTCCCAATCCCCGGCTGCTTTCCTGAAACCTGTATCAACTGGTCCTTTGGACGATGCAGATGACCGGTAAGATAATCAGGCCTCCAACAATTGGTAATGTTTCAACCCCGCTCACTACTAGCCCAGACACATCCGACGCTACGCCCCGGGCACGCTGACCAAGTGTCTGTACCAATTCGACGAGCCCGTCAGCCCACACATTGCGGCGAAGCAGAAGCAGCTGACGGTGCGATTCTCAATCCCTCCGACTCTGTCGTGGTGCAATGCGCCAACAGCCGAGCAAAATGGATGAGTGAGCTGACAGCAGACAGATTCCGCGGGATGATGATATCATCGGTTCTATCCACCAGACCCTGTCCGACTGGGCAGCAAAGGGCATCGATTTTGCCCTCGTTGAAACAGCAGGCGGCGTGCACTCGCCGGGCCCCAATGGCAATTCACAGGCTGATTTGTATCGGCCTTTACGGCTGCCGATTGTTCTGATTGCGGACTCCCGCCTCGGCGGCATCTCATCCTCCATCTCAGCGTATGAGTCGTTGTTACTGCGCGGGTATGATGTGAATTCTGTGTTGCTGTTTCAGGATGATTATTACCAGAATCACGAGTATCTGCGCACCTATTTCCAGAAGAAGAGCATCCCCCTGGTGCCGCTGCCGCAGCCCCCGGCGCGACCGCCGTCGCGGGATGCAGATGCCTTGGCCCGCGATGAGGAGGCCATGGCTAGGTACTACGAGCGCGTGGCGCGGGGCACTGATGTAGCTGGGTTGTTGGAGGATATGACAGCGAAGAATGAGGCCAGAATTGAGCGCCTGGAGGCCATGTCCGGCCGGGCTCACGAGACCATTTGGTATCCGTTCACGCAGCACCACGGGATGGCGCCCAAGGATATTACGGTGATTGATTCTGCGTACGACGACTTCTTCCAGACTTACAAGCCCGCGGAGCCTTCACAGCAGGGTGGATTGCGCGCGACGTTCGATGGCTCCGCCTCGTGGTGGACACAAGGACTGGGGCACGGAAACCCCGATCTGGCCCTGTCTGCGGCGTACGCTGCAGGTCGCTACGGTCATGTCATGTTCCCCGGGAATATCCACGAGCCTGCGTTGACTCTGGCGGAGACGCTGCTGCAGACGGTCGGAAACCCGCGTCTGCAAAAGGTCTTCTACAGTGACAATGGCAGCACGGGCATGGAGGTGGCTATTAAGATGGGTCTTCGGGCGGCATGTGACCGGTACGGCTGGGATGCCAGCCAGGAGCAGATTAGTATCCTGGGCCTCAAGGGCAGCTACCACGGTGATACGATCGGGGTGATGGACTGCTCGGAGCCTTCTACATACAACAAGAAGGTGGAGTGGTACCGGGGTCGGGGCTACTGGTTCGATTACCCCCAGGTGCAGATGTCACAGGGAGTGTGGAAGGTTCAGATCCCCGAGAGTCAGCGGTCGGCCTTGGGTGCCGACCTGGAGTACTCGTCGTTGGATGCAGTGTTCGATCTGGAGACGCGGGTCGCCTCGGAGGTCGGACAGCGCTACCAAGAGTACATCCGGGGGACGATTGCAGAGCTGGTGCAGCAGCGGGGCATGAAATTTGGCTCGCTGATCATGGAGCCGGTGATCTTGGGAGCGGGAGGCATGCTGTTCTGGTGAGTTTTCTCCTAACAGTTGCAAACAAGATAGGTAGTGTACACGCCGCATACTGACCAATCATTTAGTGACCCCCTCTTCCAGCGGTGCCTGGCTGAGGTGGTGCGCGGTCACCCGGAGCTCTTTGCCCCTGGCGCCACTGCAGGCGCGGCGGGAGGATCGTCGTGGTCGGGACTCCCAATCATCTTCGACGAGGTGTTCACCGGGCTGTACCGGCTGGGACAGCGATCGTCGGCCTCGTTCCTTGGAGTGGAGGCCGACATCGCGGTCAACGCCAAACTGCTGACGGGCGGGCTGGTGCCACTGTGCACGACCCTGGCGAGCAACGAGGTGTTTGCGGCGTTTTCGAGTCCGCAGAAGAGCGACGCGCTGCTGCACGGGCACAGCTACACGGCGCACGCGGTTGGGTGCCAAGTCGCGGTGGACTCACTGCGCACGATGAAGCAGCTGGAACGCAGTGGGGCGTGGGAGAAGTACCGGCGGGATTGGCAGCCGACGGGGCTCCCCTCGGTGCCCCGGGCGCGACCGGAGGTCTGGAGCGTCTGGTCGCATGGGTTGGTAGGGCAGCTGTCCCATGCGCCGGCAGTGGAGGGGTTGTTTGCCCTGGGGACGGTTTTGAGTATTGCCCTGAAGGATACTCAGGGCGGAGGTGAGTTTGGATCCCATCACTGATTAACCTTTAACATTTTCGTTTGTTTATTGGCCGAGAATAGCCGCTAACCGGAGGGGGGTGCCTCGGCAGGATACACATCGACGGCGGCCCAAGGACTGCAGCAACGGCTGGCAGCGGGTGGAGAGCATTTTGCGGTGCATTCACGCGTGCTGGGCAATGTGCTGTACCTGATGGCGAGTGTCACCTCAACCCCGGAGGCATTACGGGAGATCGAGGAAGTGCTGCGGGCGGCGTTGTTGGAGTGAAAAAGATTCTTCCGAGATCTGTACTTATGGCTTGCATACATACACGATACAAACGATGGATAGAACCAGTCACTACTTACTACTAGACTAGTATGTAGGCATAGATATGACATAACGGACAACAATGACATTGTGATTGGCATAAAATGAATTAAGTTTTTTTTCCCCTGTGATTCCGATCCTCGTTGCTTAACAATCGCGTCTTCACCGACGGCCCGAACAGAGCCAGAATGTTTGGGTGAGAACAGCCAATCAGCGGCACTGTGATCCGAATTGCTGCAGCGGAGCTCCTTTGGTCCGTAACAAGTGGATCTCATCGTCATAATCCATCTTGCAAGGTATTGAGGGAGTGAGGGAGTGAGTGAGTGAGTGAGCGAGGGAGTCAGTGTGGGATGCTCCCAGCAAAGCACATGCAGCCAAGCCAACCCCCCAGCCAGTTCTCTCCGAGTACCCATCATTTCTCCTATGCCTAATTTTATCTCAATCAAGAGTTGATCCATCAATTAAACCAAATCATCTCACCGAACACAAAGTCAATCAGCTCAATCAACACCACCATCTCTTCTGAGTCAAATCAGCCAACTTGTTTCCTGCTACCTGGGATGTTGTGGCCCCGCGTTGAACACCACCACCCGGTTGGGGTCAACAAGCGTCGCCCACCCGCAACACTCATGCTTAATTTCTTAATTCCATTCGATCGGCGCTGACTGGCTGGCCAACTATCATCGCCCAGTAATGTTAATCCGGTTGTTGTGAGATGATAGTGCTGTGCTGGTGCCCCTCTTTTCACCCGAGGTGTTAGTTAGCAGTATGGAGAGAGGACTCCGTAGTAACTATTTGACTAGTAATTTGTTAATTAATAGTGTGTAGCCTGGAACAGTCCCTGCCTGTCTGTTCCCTCACTGTCAACAATCATCTCCCCTCTTCTCTCTCCATCTTCCCCAGTAATTCTCTCCATCTTACCACCACACCACACCACATACTACTCCCGCATCTACACATCTATACACAACACACACACACAAACAAAGACAAAAAAGGAGTAAACAATGTCTCTCCGTACCCTCCCCGGGGTCCTCCTCCGCCGCAGCTACGGCACCGTGCAGTCCACCACCCCCAGTGCCGCCGCCATCGCCAGCCGTATCCCACCTGCTCTGCGTGAAGCCACTGCCGCCACGGCACCACGCACCAACTGGACCCGCGAAGAGATTCAACAGATTTACGAGACGCCCTTGAACCAACTTACCTATGCCGCTGTACGTCCATACCCTTTCCCCCTCCAATCTACACCAAATCACACAATATTGTAACACTCACTAACAATAATCTAAATATAGGCAGCAGTCCACCGCCGCTTCCACGACCCCAGCGCCATCCAAATGTGCACACTAATGAACATCAAAACGGGCGGCTGCAGCGAAGACTGCTCCTACTGCGCACAATCCTCCCGCTACCAAACGGGTCTAAAAGCCACCAAGATGTCCCCAGTCGACGAAGTCCTCGAAGCCGCCCGCATTGCCAAATCCAACGGCAGCACACGGTTCTGCATGGGCGCCGCGTGGCGCGACATGCGCGGCCGCAAGACCAGCCTCAAGAACATCAAATCCATGGTCTCTGGAGTTCGGGGCATGGGGATGGAAGTCTGCGTTACACTTGGAATGATCGACGAGGCACAAGCCAAGGAACTCAAAGACGCGGGACTCACGGCGTACAACCATAACCTGGATACATCAAGGGAGTTTTACCCGGAGATTATCACGACGAGGTCGTACGATGAGAGATTGAAGACGTTGGAAAATGTGCGGGATGCCGGCATTAATGTCTGCTCTGGTGGAATTTTGGGTCTGGGTGAGAAGGATGAGGACCGCGTGGGGTTGATCTATACGATGTCGGGGTTGGAGAAGCATCCGGAGAGTTTCCCGGTTAATGCTCTTGTGCCGATTCCCGGAACGCCGCTTGGCGAGAGGAAGATGATTTCGTTTGATAAGATTCTTAGGACGGTCGCTACCGCGAGAGTGGTCATGCCGGCTACCATTGTGAGACTTGCTGCGGGCAGAATTTCGTTGAGTGAGGAGCAGCAGGTTGCTTGTTTTATGGCGGGAGCTAATGCCGTCTTTACGGGTGAGAAGATGCTTACGACCGAGTGTAATGGATGGGATGAGGATAGGGCCATGTTTGAGAAGTGGGGTTTCTATCCCATGAAGAGCTTTGAGGGGGAGCATGTTAAGGATGAGGTCAAGGTCAAGGAAGTCGAGGGGACTGCGCAGGCCGCGGTTAGTGCGTAAATAGTTAGATGAATTAAGATGATTATATCGGTTCAAGGCTTTTGTATTTGAATAGCATCATGTGACTTGCTGTTGTTTTGATTATCCAGAAACACATGACTCGTTCTTCATGAACAGTATGCACACCCCAAGTCAGTAGTCTGATCATAGAGTCTCACATCCTCTTCTCCCATTTCAATATCTTCCCTGATATATGCGACACCATAACATCAAGAATATCCATCTCACCACAATCAACCCAACTTCCAAATGGTTCTTTGTTCTTATCATCATGGTTAGACACAGGCCTGTCACTTCACTACTATCAGTGACACCAAGAAAAGATTGTCCTACCAGCAGAAGCGGTTTCCCCTATACCCCAACCGGCAATAGCCGCTGGAACAGGACAGAACCGAAGTATTACTCGAGTTCAAGTTGACGCCGAGACACATATCTTGATCATCACCCACATGGCCTACATCAGCCAATCCCTCGTTATTCGATCCCAACACACCCACACAGCGACCTTCGATTTTCTGGGACCCAGCAGAAAGTAAAAGAAGCACTTTCTGATACAGTATCCCAAATCCCAGGATATATGAAATATCCCCTATGTACTTATCTTGTAGTCTCTGTTCACCACCACAACGGTGTGGCAAGAGAATATGCATCAACCCATATGCAGGGTTCTCATCGAGGCAGAAGCTCGACCCAGTGCTTAGGAATGTCGCTGAGCCCATTTAGCAAGGCATATTCCCAACGTATATGTGCGTCCTTGCTTATTCAATATACTGAGGACAAAGGTGAATGCTCTTTTCTGCTATAGTCTGGCCATCCGTGATTGCAAATTTCCAGAAAGAATGACCCATTTCGGGTTTCATGGAAACGGGTTCAAGAACTTGCCGAATGATGGAGCTGCTAGCAACATTATGCGTGGGGTCGTTTGAGGAGCCCGTCGACTCCTGCGTAGAGATTTTGAGTAGAAGTCTTCTCTTAATTTAAAATGGGAAATTTGGCCACGATTTCGTGATATTGATGTCTTCGTCCGCTGCCACTTTCGTACATTCCCAGAGGAAATAAGGTAGATGCACCCTGAAAAGTTGCTCTTTGAACAACGAGAACGCAGCATGACGAGAGATTATATCTGTAGTTGCTTGATCGCTTACAGAGTGAGGGAACAGAATACCTGTCTGGTCGCCATTCCTATCTTGTGGTTCGTCGTCCAAACAGGGACTGAGAACCCTTTCCATTTTTCATCAGTTTGTACTCTACCATAGTAGAAATACCGGTATTGTCAGAAGATATCTGGCATGTCGCAGTGGAATTGCGAGATGGCATTCCTGTCTTTTTGATCGCTTCGCTGGAGATTGAAGCTGAATATGCTAGTATATATATTCCTTGGAATAAGTTTCTGCGAGATAGCAGTCTCAGAACGACAAGGTTCCAGCTTGTCGTCATGTTTGGACCTATGTTCCTCCAAGTAGGAGAGAACGGTAAGGCGGCGAGAAAACAGTGGTTGGGGAGTAGGCGATTGCGCTCCGCAGATCAGGGAGCCGACTGATCGACTCCAATTTAGCTTGGTGGCTGAGATCTGGACGAGGAGAGTCACGTCTTCGGGATATGCTCATCATTATATGTAACGCAGGGGCTTATCCGTTTGGCAGTGACGCAGGAGATTGGAAGAGTTGTAATAGGTAAAGCCTATGCTGTTCACAGAATTGTCTTGAGTGCATACGCACAATGTTTAGGTTTCCAAGCTGCAGAACTCCTGGGTTGAGTATCCATATACAGTGTTCTGGAACCGTCGGTGTTCAATGCGCCCCATTGTGCCGTTTATGTTAGATTAACATATTGGGTTCTTTGATTGAGAGATCCTTTCTCGAGCCTGTTTGCGATGTATGATCGAATCTCCAGCAGGCAAGCAGTATATGCGATGTATTGCCGTTGACATATGTTATATGAAGATGTACCGAAGTCTGCTGTCGGTTTCCTCCTCTGACTCGTCACTTGGCATCTGCACGAAGTGCCCAAGTCTGAAAGAGCATGCAGGAAAGACAAAGATGCATTGTTGACGCTTGTAACATGTACGACAGATTTATCTTCGCCTCAAGGCGGTTATAGGTATAGCCTTCTTGATGAGGCAGACAGTTCGGCGATGGTCTAACTTCTGCCAAAACGAGAAGCTTCTCTGGGGGTATTCATGCTCGGGACATATTGCCAATAGACAGTAGACGCCACAGTTTATCAGTCTGTAATTGTCATCTTTATTTTGCGAGTCTTGCGCTTTTGCTAGTCTTGCAAGACATGTTCCATAGACTTGGTGGTATTCCTAGACGTGTCGCGATATCGATTTACGATGTGGAGAACAACCAGTTGGCTCACTAGATTCCGCATAAAGTCATCGAGTCTATCAGAACCTTTATGACACAGTGGTAAGAGTGTATAGTATAAGAGCAAGGCATCTATGCTCTCGCTGGTGGATTGTGGCAGAAGAACGAATTTCTCTTCATGGCCGATATGCTAATAGCTGAAAAGCTGTTGCGCAGCTTTCAAAGGCTAGGGTTCTGTCTGGGCTTTCTTTTCGTTGATTAGTCGGCACCAACGATATGTTTAAACTTGAACTGGTCACTTTAGACAGCTCTGCTATTCTTTCATGAATCTCAGGAGCACCGCTGATGAATCCCCATGTCTTTTATCAGATGTTGAGTTACTGACCCTCGGAGAGTGCATAGTTGGAGCTTGCCGAATAACCTCATAGTTGTATGAACTTTCTGTCCAAGCATTCTAAATCCCAAATGACATGAAACCAATGAATCTGGAGGAAGCCCTTCCTCCTTCCGCTCCTCTCCCTCTCCACGGACGAACGTTCTTCAATAAACCCGTCCCCACAACGCCCGCGTAGCCAGGAAGACGACTCAACACTCCCATTGAGTTGGATATGTAGTGTGGGTAGCGACCCGACAATCCAAGTATGCTTCCAAGTCTGTAGACAGTGTATGAATATCGCCACTGAGCTATCCGGTCCCGGCAACACATATTGTCAATGAGGACAGTAATTGGTATATACACTCGTAGTTTGCTTTGATCAGCTTCTTCGTGTGCCCGGCTCTGACTTGGTGTAAATAAGTAGGCAAATGGTGTCCTGAAGACATTGAAGCGGCGATCATAAACATTCAGTTCATAGATGATGAAAAGATTCTTCCTTCTTCCTGCGAAGGATGTCTTCTCCTTTGGGCTCCCTTGATTCTGTCATTGTCTTCGAAGCCAGGACATCATTCGCAGAGATTGCTTCTTTATATATACCTCCGCTCTTTCTGTGTCAATAGAGACACTGCAGATAAAGAGCGCAGGCCCACTCTTTGGCCGTTGTGCAGTTTTAATATATAACCATTAGGCTGTCATGTCCGCTTCCACTTTCTCATGCGACATGCCCACGTCCGTTTGCAGGAATGCCGACACCTCCCCGAGGTACTGGCGTTGATTGATGTCGGGCTCGCTCCAGGCATCCATGAATTCTGCACATCGTAATAGCCACAACTTGCCATATCATTATCCAAGAGAACAGGACACAGTGCTAGCCTGTAAATCAGACATAGCACAGTGATCCCGCAACAGTTGCTCCTTTCTGCTACCTTTTGAGGCAATTTGGTAGAGCGGGAACCCCGGCCATGCTTCCAGAACGACTAAGTTGCTGGAGCATCTCTCATGCTCGATTGACCGAGTGCTTGGAGGAGGATTGTAATATCGAGCTGTACAGACACTTAGCGTTTAAGAGTGTATTTATACGCCTCAGTATCGCGTCCTGATGCTTTCCGACCAGTGTCTCAGCGCATTAGTCCTCGTTGGTGGCTCTTCAGTTTTTATGATCTTCCGACGTTTGGATCTCTCGAGCTTGAGGGGGTATCCTCAATTTCCATATCCCGAGAATGTGCTCAATATAAGGAACATAGAGTTGTATATAGTTGACTTGCTCAAGAATGGACGCATTAAAGTCGTACTGGGGAGATACGTAAGGAATACTGCCGAGTGGATTGTGAAAGATGCAGTTATATCGAGCCTGTCATCCAAATTGTGCAATCTAACATTGCTTCGGACACCCCAAGAGTCGAGCTCAACAGCTCTCCCCAACCACATAAGGTAGTATTAGGGTTAACGATAGGTGGCCAACCCCGGACCTGTCTGATCAAGAGGAGAAAGTCTTGGAAAGCTGGGTGGTATTTCAATAGTAAGTTTCAACCTTTCCATTAGTAGAATCCCTGAAGAACCCGAGACGCATCAAGATCTCTTGGCAACTTGAAATGGTACTAAGAATGAATGGTATTGAGAAAGAAGATGGTCCAGTGGGTGTATAGTTCGCATGCCACTCTAGCCATAAGTTAGAGGGAACTAGTACTACTTTATCTTGTGAAGTCTTACCTCTGGGAATCTCCATCTCTCCGTGCAATCGGCGATGTTAAGATAAAGTGCCTACCACCGTATGCTGTCTGGATTTGTACCGAGATGGTTTGAATCGCTGTGCTTCACCAGCGCCATGACTATACATATCGCCAGTTGATTCCACGACAGTCGTACCTGCCGGGAATTTCCAGGAAGCAAATAGCGATATAGCCTCAGGATAGGATCTTGTAGGGGTACAACATTCTGCACATGTGACCAATAGGGTCGTTTCAAAATATATAGTTTAGCCCTATATGCTATGCAAGTGCCGCAAGTGGCTATATGTGCTTCGATGGAGAATAGAAGAATGATAAGGAAGGAAAAAGGAGGAAGAAGAACAGAGAAAAGAAAGATTATATAGTAGATAACAGGAAGAGATCTATTCATCGCACCAACTACCAAATAGTGAAGCATGATATCGTATTCATCCTCCCCAGTCAATACCCCAGCCCAGTGGCGAGCAAGAATAGGGAATGTTGTAATAATCACAAGCCATTCTTAATTCAATCTGCTATTCCCAGCTGCAACATGATCCAAACGAATGTGATGCATGATGCAGGTATGCCGTGACGTTGAGGGGGGATCGGCAAATCTATCGTATGACGATACCCGATCATGCCATAATCAGGATACTCTCCACTCCCTCAACCCGAAAATAAGGTGATCCTCGGGAACTCCCCCCATCTTATAAATAAACCTTTAGTCTAGCCGTCACTGAATCCTCCAGTCTGCGCTTCGCACTTATCAAGCCAAATCAACTAAACTGAACCTCAAATCATCGCTACAACATTACCAACCATGAATATCTCGGCTTCTCCCTCTGGCTCACAGCCCTTCATCAAGAGACCTGCTCTAAGTCCCGCGTTCAAGAAGCCTAGTAGATGGTGAGTGTGCCTTCTTTCCCCAGATGACGTATTGAATAATAGCTAATGAATACAGGTATCTCCCGCTCATGGGCGTCATAGCTCTCGGTACATTCCCTTGCGATACATGAATCAGCTCCCACCATCTAACCATTAACTATAGGCTTCGGAGTCGCCAACCACCTCGAAAACCAAGCTCGCCAGCCCCAGTTCGACCGCGAAGAAGAGGAGCGCCTCCGAAAGAACCGAGCCCTGATGGACGCCTACGGCGACAAAGAAACAGTCCAAGATATTGAACGGGCGCTGGTCGTCTATGACCTTCAGTGAACATCCTTGATGGAAGGGGACCATTATTGCAGCACACTTAGCGTGGGATATGATTACGGCTTTCATGAATAATGGTGCATAAGGAGTTTGGGATTCATTTTAACTCTCCGGAAGAGATGAGGAATGGTTTCGGGATTATGGAATTAACTGGGGATTTTGCTGGTTTAGGTTTCACGGAATAGCATCTTGAATTGAGAAGCAATCTGGTTATTGCACTTATGCTACTATTTTTTTTCTATGAATGAGTGGGATTACCGACCGAATCGTGACTGCTGTAGAAGTGCTGTTCTCGCACCCCCCAAATGGCACTGGAGACTCAATTTTCAGACCACCAACCGATCATTACCCCATAGCCGCCACGGATGCGGGGATAGCCATTCTGTAGCCCACCCGCCAATCACATCGTCACACATGCTATCCCGCGCTGTATGGTGTCGATCATGATACTCGACTCCTATCTAAAAAGAGCTAGACTACCCCTCAAGTAACTCAACACAGCCCCTTTGGTAGCTGCAGCTTGAGCTGTGAAGGTTGCGCGTTCTTGCTGCACAAGTAATTCAGTGCTTCATAGGCATTTATAAATTAACCCTGCTGCCTACACCTGCACTAAGGGCAGGGAATTGGGTATGACCCGTCACATAGCTGTTTCACCGTAGTGTGCTGTACATTTTACGGATAGATCACTCGGCACATAATAAGCGGGTAAAAGAACTCCCGAACATTGCCTACGAAGGGCGCCAATGCAGATCAGTCCGGCAGTTGGCCCGGAGGAGTGAATGCCAGTCCTTATTCAGTAGAGGGCTCAAGCTGCCTGGACCATCCTATCCTTGGGATCCGTACAGGTTTTCATAACTTGCTTATTAAACCCTACAAATAATGCTCAACCAACAACACCTTATTCGTCAGGCTCCCACGCCAACACTAGATGCAGTCAGTAGACGATTCTTTGCCAATCTGCGAAACAACTGCCTGGCAACATATTTACGCCGGGGATCCGTAGCGGATTCTACCGCATCATTGTGCTGATGCTTTAAATGCTCCATATGGAGTTCAGCAAGGTTATCAGAATAGGATGAAGAGATGCTAAAGGTGCTGCCTGGCAAAGCTGACCGTGGTAGCGTCCCCAGACGGACAAGTTCATTCATATGGAGCGACAGGGGTCTGCTGTTTACATCGTATGAGAATTCTTCAAGACGCTCCATAGACCCAATTTGAGGTAGGGAAATTCTGTTCAGCTGCAGGAGTATATCTGCAAACTGTCCGTACATCATCTCCAGCTTCTCCACGTCAATGTTCGGATCGGGTAATGACGGTCTGATATTACGAGCCCAGGCGTGGCCAGTACGTCGCTCATTGTATTGACGTGATCAATATAGTCCATGACGATGAACGGACCAAACCCTGGGGGGCTTTCTTCCTTGGTACCGCAGTGCAGGATGAATGGCACTGGAATCGAAGTATTGTCCTGGATATATCGAATCGCTGCAACTCTTTGCGAACTTTCTCCTCGGGGAGAACATGTTTACTCCGGGCTTGGGGAACCGTATGGTTGCAGAGACGCCGTCAAGGGACTTCATGCGGAAGGTTATATTGAAGTATCTAGCGCTAGATTGGCATTATTCGTCTGCAACGCCTTTTCGGTACTTCACTATGAGGCGGCCGATTGCTCGGAGGGTGTCTTCGTCGGCGAAGAGATTATGTATCCAACTGTCTGCGATGTCTTCGCTTCTTTCCCAGGCAGCATCGTCGAAATCCATGCGTGGATCCATTGATTCATTCAAGGTTGCTGTACAAGGCAGAAAAAGTGATTGGATATTATGTAGATAGATAAAGTGTATAATAGATTCTGGGTAGAAAACGCTCGGGGGGAAGGGGACTTCCGCAAGTGCGATACTATGCATCACAGCACCACCGAGATGTCGATCTGGAAAATAATACTAATTTGTACTCTGTAAACAAAGCCCCACGCACCCAATTCGTCGACTTGCTGAGGTGAGGTAGTATGTAATTCAGCCACGGAGAATCAAGACTACCAATTGAGAGGTTTTTGCCATCGGTAAATGCCTGCAAATTCTACGGTGACAGCCACTTGCCCAGGGTATATTGCTAAGTATGGGCGTTGGCGCTTAATCACTCTGGATTCCTGCGAGCGAGACGATGAAATGCCGTGATTCCAACGATAGGACCCGATGTTAACTCATTCCCTTTCTGACTCAATACCATAAACGACTGTCAGTTGGTATGTACACGGGAAGGAAGGTAAATGATAAGTAGGGTAATGACTAGGAAACGAGAGGTTTATTTCACAATTCAATATTAGATCTACTGAATCACACAGCCTTCCTACTCTGTCTTATTTCGGATTCTATTCAAAGTTGCTGCAGCTTCGTAAGGGCGATTGCCGTCGTATAGTTCACGACTACGGATATCAGCTATAAAATTCATCACTTTTCCTACTACTCTCCGAGATATATAAGGGGCTTTAGCAGAGGTTTCTGCGTTTTGATCCCAATTTGAAAAGAGGTCCTGTTTCTAATATTTTTGCAGCTTATAGCATAGGTATAGATATCAAAATGGCATAGAAAAGTAGAAGTTTATCACTCTGGTACCGTTGCTTTGTACCGATGTTGGTAGGAGAATTCCTTTACTCACCACAATGCGTAGATATCTTCCACCTCACGGCACATTATACTCATCGGCACCACCCTAGAAGCACTTGGTATAGATAAAAAAGCTGTTGAACAGTTCTTCCAACCCTTGAGATAAATATCCCCTTCGTCCTCTTCGACAAGGGGATCCCAACCAGAGATACCAGATCATCTCATCTGCTATACTCAGTTCTATCTCTTCGCATTCTCATAAGGCTAAAGGTCCTATCAGGAAACTTTTAGGCTTACTTACCATTGATTTAGTGATCCAGCAACACCACTCAGTTATCATCATGGCTCCAGGCGACAAGAACGCAGGTCGTGACGAAGCTGCATACCGACTTAACCTCGGGGAATCCCAGGCCGAAGCTCTGAGAAAACAGGGTGTAAGGTCAGGAGAGAAGCGCGGAAAGTCCTACGAACCCAGTTCTCTCAGGTTGCCAAACCCGCATGAAGAGGACCAGATGGAGAAGGCGGCAACCGCGTCAAATCAGAAACGGACTCATGTTACTGAGAAGATTGCTAACCAATACAGAGATAGCAGGGGTTGATAATGCACATGTCACTGTCAATCATAGCTTGTTGAAACATGCAGGCTCCTGAATGACCACCTTGATATGTGCCATGAGAGAGGAGTTTATAAAGGGACAATGTTAGCTGCTTTTATATCACTAGTTATCAGTAGTCGTCCGGCTAGAGTGTAATGTCCATGTATGGATGCCATTTTCAATTACTTGACCTAGGACAACGAGCCTAAAAGCTTCGGTGCATATAGATGAAGAGAAGTACCCCTTGGACAAATTGTTAGTTGTCAGGGCTGGCCTATGTAAATGTACTTGGTAAATGCATGTGGCGCTGGAATTTGCAGTACTGGGATTTTCCATGATAGATGATATTGGGATCCAATAGAATCGTTTTCTATCACATATAATGTGGTAGTTGTCCATTACCCCAGTCGTATAATATCAAGTCACCTTATCAGAAAACATACATCCTCACACAAGGCAGGATAACATAGTAGAAGGACCTATGTTGTTAAAGTGAAGTTCTAACTAATATCCGAAGGTACATAAGTTGTTATCCTCAAAGCAATTTCGCAGAGTCACTGACTCTCGCAAAAGTGATACTCGGAAAATATCCAAGTCTTGTTCACGATTTAAGGGATTTCTGTGCTACCTTATAGAGGTCAAGATGCAATAGAGGCCCACAAAGCTGAATGCAGTTGAATGCCCTTCTGACACATTTCTAAGTCCAATTACCATATCGTGTTTCCCTGTCTAATAGTTGAGGTCTCGGATTACAGAATGATCTAGTCTCTTATCCGCCCCGGCGAAGCGTAGTGGTATGTGGGAATCACGACAATGCTGAACAACCCAAACAATAAGCTATAGCAGTAAGCATGCTATCGGATGCTTGCTCCCTGATACCAATGGATTCCGTTCCTACGCTGTCTTAACACTCGGGCAATTCGGGCAATTCGGACATCACGGGATTTTCGGTCGTAACGGCCGTAACGGCTCTATCGGTCATTTACAGGGCTGCCTGGCTGAAGGAACAGCTTGAAGATGATGCCGTTCCAATGTAAGTATATAAAGCCAGTGCCTCTTGTTTGTCCTGGATTTCTTCTCATCTTTCATTTCTATCATCCTCACAATATTATCCCGAGGTAAAGACAAATCATGTCCAAACTCAGAATTCTCATCTGCGGCGCAGGCATCGCCGGTAACGCCCTTGCCTTTTGGCTATCCAAACTCGGCCACATCATCACAGTCATCGAGCGATACCCTGGTTTACGAGCCACCGGACTCCAGGTCGATCTCCGCAGCCCTGGCATTGAAGTCGTCCAACGAATGGGTCTCGAGAAAGCCTTTCGCAAGGTCACCGTCCCAGAACAAGGTCTACAGCTTGTTGACAGCCGCAACCGGCGATGGGGGTATTTCCCTGCTAATCGAAGTGGGAAGGGATTGCAGAGCTTTACTACCGACTACGAAATCATGAGAGGCGATCTGTGCCATCTGCTTCATGACGCTGTTAAGGATCGCGTGGAGTATTTGTTCGGAATGTATGTCATGGAAATGCAGCAGACGGATAATTTTGTCGACGTGGTCTTGTCCGATGGGAGGAAAGAGCGATTTGATCTTGTTGTTGGTGCGGATGGTCTGGGTTCTCGTATGAGGACCATGATGCTTGGGGGTGGGGATGATGATAGAGATTCGGTTCACTCGATTGGGGTCTCTGCTGGGTATTTCACGATTGATAGGGAATTGGAGAAGGGGGAGGGATATGATGCAACGGTGTATATGACTACGCAGGGGCGTGGGATCATGATGCGTCGTCATAACCCGCACAAGATTCAGGCGTATATGTTCTGCAAGGCGGGGCCTTTTGAGAACTGCAGCAAGGGCGATGTTGAGCGGGAGAAGCAGGTTTTGGGCCAGGTCTTTCGGGATGCAGGGTGGAAGTCTGAGGAGATCATCAGAGGTATGGAAGAGGCGGACGATTTCTATTGTGAGCGCATGGGGGTGGTGAATCTGGATAGCTGGTCGCGAGGCCGTGTTGTTTTGGTCGGAGATGCGGCTTATTGTCCGTCTGCTATGACAGGAATGGGCACGCCGTGTGCCATGGTTGGTGCTTACATTCTGGCAGGGGAGATAGGAAACCGTTGTGCGAAGGGGATTGGTTCCAAGGAGGACATCGCGGAGGCTTTCAAAACTTATGAGGACAAGCTCAAGCCCTTCATGTTGAACGTCCAAAAGGGACTCATGGACGATCACGATTACATGAGCAGGCTCCCTTCATCTACTTTGGGGATCACTGTGGTGTATATCCTGTTTGCAATAGCCTCGTTCTTGAGACTGGACGTCCTCTCGCAATGGGTGTTGCGCGAAGATTGCAACAAGGACTGGAAACTGCCAGAGTATCCGATCATGGTCGACAACTGATAAACGTCGGGAGTTCCGGCAGTTATCCGGTATCGAATGGAATTTGTGTTGCTGCTGAGCGTGTTTTGGGTTGTACATTTAGCTTCATGTGAGATTATTTTGTTGTCACGCCCAATGTAATATCTTCTCTCCTTAATGAATACCAGTCTAACTTTACCACCCCGCAAAGAGTTGCAAGTCAGGAAAGTCGAAGTTGAAGTCGCTGCCGTAGATGGAATCGAAACCACGATCCAAGGGTTCCCCAGAAACATCTGATCTATTGAGACTATCTCCAAAAGATGCAGTATCAGGGCCATTGGAGATAGATGCCATAGCTACCATGTCCTGCATCATACCGTAGCACGCATCCACACTTTCATGCATTGTCCTTGAAACTGCCTCCTCCTCGGACTGACCACTAAGCCTAGCTTCCGCTTGGGCTAGCATCATATTGTAAAAGATATAGACTTTGACATTAGTTTCTCCATGATATATTCTATCTTTCGCATAATGAACGACGCAGCGGGCATCTCGCAATAGGGTTCCCTGACGAGCATAATCTCTTCTTTTCGCCAGACTCGAACTCTCCGCTTCTGGATCGGGGCTGGCTTCTGAGAAGATGAGTATTGCCGCACGGGTCACAATGTCGCGAAACATGCCGCCCCCACAACGGAGGACACGACCGTACAAGTTGTCTTCGACCAGTGATATGATATCTAGTGCGGCTTCAACACCGGCCTTGCGGGAGTGACTGTATAGGGGATTAATCTTTGCCTTAATGGCAAATTTGTAGTGGAGACACAAGGTAAAGCGTCGAATGAGATGGGTGCAGAAGCTTGATGCGAATTGATCTAATGGGGATGCAGAGTCAAGTTGGTCGAGAGTGAGCGAGATGTCGCGGCATGCTGAGGCTAATTCTTTACCGACCTCAAGGACCTCCTCGTAGGGCGGTTCCTCTCGCAAGTCGTTTATCAGTCTGGAGGCATGCAGACGGAGTGGTATTGAACTTGACAGTATAGGTTGCAAATTCATTGACTTATGAGCCGCTGACTCTTCCCGTTCGCCGATCTCTGGCTCGGCGTCGAGATTGTGATCGCTTGGTGGCTCAGTATTCCAGTCCCCAGTTGCGATCATTGGTAACATTCCGGAATCCAAGGACGACTGTAGGTTCAATTCTAAGATAGTGTACCAAAGTCGCCGCCTTAGTCCCTTTTCCGTGGGATCCATCTCACTCAGACAGTTGGGATCTTGATGCAGACCCATCTGCATGGCTATCCTCATCAACGAGCCTGTGGATATCCAGATCAGATCGGCGCCAACCTGATTTACTTGGCGGGCCAAAAGAAGCAGACAGTGGAGTTGAATGCCCCCCAAAGTTAAGCGGCTTTTTTCTAGTGGTGCTGAGAGCCATGTCTGGGCAGTATAAATCCACATTGCAGCTTTTGACGCCGCATTTATACGGACATTGGCATCCTGATGCAAAGGGCCTGCGATGGAGACGACAAGAAGAATTTGTAAGACTATACAAGTATCCGCGGATTCGTGGTTATTCAGGTATGTCTGGCAATGTGCCATGAAGGGATTCTTCCGAAGTATTCGGTAGCACGACTCGAATGTGGCGAAATAGAGCTGGGCCAATTCAAGGATGACATCGGGACTAGGAAGTGACTGATGAATCTGTGTCGGAAGGCTGCTACGACTAGGTCTTTGACTTTTGATACTTCGAGCTAGCCTTTTGCATTGGGCCATCTTATCAGCGATGGCATCCAAGGGGCCGTGGCTTGTGTTTCGTATGATAATGTCGTATAGGCCCATGAGAGGTTGCAAGGTGGGCAGCCCTTCTGTCTGTAACGCCGTCAATAAAAGCATAGTTTAATATTTATGTCAGCTACATACCAATGAAAAAATATTCATCCAATGTCCTTGGCCGAACACTCTCGTCTTTGACACCATGCCTCGGATCTGGCCCGAGGTTGATGCAGCCTGTTGCGATGAAGCGTGAGGTGTGTGCGAGGGTTGGCCACCATTTCTCTCCTGAAAAACATGTTGCCTCTGATAGTTGGTTTCGCTGCTAGTAGGTGGCGCCGTTTCACGATTGGCAAACGAATTGCGATTCTGCTCATATGTACAGGCTGATGCATTATTCTGGGTTACGCACTGTCGACACGGGTTGGCCCGGTCGCATCGGACTTTGCGGCGACGACACGCAGTACATGAGAACGCCGGGCGTCTGCGCTTTCTTTTATTGGACGATCCCGGACTGGCCATTGTACGGAGTTTATGATTGAAGGGTGTTTTAAGGTTGGGAGTCTGCTCTGCAGTGCGACATGAACTGCAGGATCGATCAGGAAAGTTGGTCCAAGAATGTTTGGGACTGTCGGTCATAAGCCATCTTGGCCCGATACGACCGATGAGGCTGAGCCGTGTCCGCCCCAGGCATCAATAGTGATCGACTCGCTTTGACCGGCTTACGAAACTAGAAAATGACATTTTGCAAGCGTATGTTGTTGACAATATGACCAGACGTACGTATCACGTAGCATACTGAATTATAGGCTTTCTGTAGGCATGCTCTTGTCTCATTAGGATCGACGGGTGTCCGGTTAAATTCCAAGGTTCATCCTCCAAATATCTTGGGTATGGGAAATGCATAGCGCTGTCGACGCACCAAGCGGGGCACGTTTTGCCACGGATGTCCCTCATAAATCTCTCTGGCTCAGTCGCTGCATCTACTCCTCTCCACAACAACCTCATCGAAGTATACCTGCCATGTGTACGAATTATCAGACGACGTGCACGCCGCACTGATTGTCAGCACATCCGCTGACCTGTTGGCCGTGAATTCCCCATTCACAGCAGTCCACTGATCAGTAGGTTCGAGATCAGCGGTAGCAATCGTATCACTGGTTGTATTCAGTCCCAAGTACGCGGCGATATGGCAAAACTCTGCTCCAGAGGCAGAAGGCTTTACTTGGACGGAAAAGTTGTAGGTTGAGCTGCGGTTGAGATTAGACCGGGTCTGGGAGAAGGAATTGGGGCTGTTGTCTATAGCAGTTGTGAGGTCGCTGTTACACACGTTAGAGATTGAGACACAAGCAGAATTTACACGAAATACAGTGAGTAATTGCCAGTGTAGGCGGGAGTGGCAGTCGTGACTCGGGCTACATTTGACGCCGTGATGGACCATGGCGATAGAGAGCCTGTCTCGAAGGAGGGATTTGAGAGGATATTACACCTGGAGGTGGTCGTTATGGGCTCACGGTGATGGGGTCCAATCCTTACATGTCATCAGGATAGCTTGAGAGTATAGCGAGGAAGCAACAGACTTATTGCACTCCCAGATGCTCTACTCAGTTTGGCATAATGCTCACCGCATTCATCGGTTCGAATAGGAATCCGGCTTCGTGGTCAGATTGATGTCATGTTTTGCCTCTGTCATGTACCTGTCGTTCTTGCAAAAGCTGCCACTCGGCATACTCCATCACTGCTTTATCTAGCGGACGATCTAGAATCATACACGCAGATATATATAGACAACATAACGAAGGCATGCGATATCGCCTTGACAAATGGCCTAGATCTCAAGCAGATACACAAGAATCAAGACGCGAACTTCTTTACCAACCAGTGCATGATAATTGTTGTGGCTCATTATTTCGTCGAAGAGATTCAAAGGTGGTCAGATGACTACCAGCGTGTAAGGAGTATCGTAAATAGAGGTTGTGGCATCCTCATGTTACGCATGTATGTATTAGCAGTCACATTATGCACAGTTCAACCTTCTTTTATGCAGCGTAACTTTTGAGAGTACTGGTAACAGCACATATTATCAAGCCAATAAATGCAAAGCACGACCCGCATTTGGTTGGGCCTGAATGCATCAGTGACTACGTTGTATCTGTGAGGCTGTCATCGCCAATGCCAATCAAAGGCTGCCACAACTATCTCACTTGTAAAATCACAGAATAATCAGCAGGACCATCTTTAGATTTATCTTGCTTCACCCCCCACTTCAATGATCCTGCTACGTACCAAACAAGATAGTTTCCAGTATTGATATCTCGCAACGAACAACCATCATGGACCGAGCGACTCACGTTATCGACCCAGACGGCGAAGTTATGATAGTTCTACAAAATCCAAATGCCCCTTTTGCAGAACTAGGTGAAGCTCTGACCAGCGACAATCTTGCATATACCCTTCCCGGACCAAGCGATGAAATCCAGAACTCGGCCGAAGGGATAGAAGCTTTGAGAAATGAGCCGACTAAAGCGCCCAAAAAGAGGAAGAAGAAAAAGAAGAAAGTGTCTACTTCTGGAGGGCGTGCTGTCCACATTCCATCCGAACCTATTCACCTGTCAATTGAAGAGTCTGCTCCTGGATGGCCCGCGGCCGAAGCACCCGTCGCAGAGCCCGCTGAACATCCTGCTGAAGAACCCGCTGAAGAACCCGCTGAAGAACCCGCTGAAGAACCCGCTGAAGAAGCCGCTGAAGAACCCGCTGAAGAACCCGGCGAAGGGCCCGTTGTGGAGGAAAACTGCTTCCGCATCCTAGTCTCCGCGAAACATTTGATCCTCGCCTCCTCAGTCTTCAAGAAAATACTCACTGGTGGGTGGAAAGAAAGCATTACCTATCTACGAAAAGGCTCGGTTGAGATCAGTGCAGATAGCTGGGATATCGACGCGCTCTTAATTATGCTTCGCATTATACATTGTCAGTCCCATCAAATACCGCGTAAACTGACACTTGAGATGCTCGCGAAAGTTGCTGTTTTGGCCGACTACTACGACTGCAGGAAGGCTGTGATCTTTTTCGCAGATACATGGATCAACGCTCTGGACGAAACTATTCCCGCAACATATTCCAGGGACTTGATCCTCTGGTTATGGGTTGCCTGGTATTTCCACCACCCCGCCAACTTCAAAGAAGCCACCTCAACTGCCATGTCTTTAAGTAACGGCTGGATTGGTAATCTCGGACTCCCAATTCCCGAAAAAATCATTAGTATGGGCGCTTAAATCCTCAGATACGCTTGACTACTAATTGAAAGCAGGATCGATGAATGATAAAAGACAGGGAGCGATCGCTGGCCTAATCTTTCAACTTGAGGAAACGCGCGATGAACTCCAAAACGGCAGTAAAGGATGTGGCTTCGAATGCAGCTCAATCATGTATGGGGCACTGACAAAAGAAATGCATTTGAACGCTCTGCTCTCGCTGAGGCCTGTAGCTCCTTTCCCGGATCTGAACTACAGATCCCTCGTGCAAAAAGTGTTATCATTCAGATCGCCGGTATGGTACGGTCAATTTTCGTATTATTCCAGTTACCAACACAATTGTCAATATTCCACATTCAAACTGCTTTTTGACGTGTTGGAAGATACCATTGAAGGCCATGACCTGAAGGATTCTATCAAGGTGTAGTTAAGGAACTACCAAACCTAGCTTGTCGTTGATACTTTGTCGCCTACCGAAACAAGCGTCTTCCTGTCCAGCCAGTCGCTGGTTGATGTAGTAGAGATCTTTGCAAATGCGATAATGGAGACGAAAGCGACTTGTACTAATACCACTTGGTATTCTTACGGAGCCCTTGTCTTTGGTCTTCTCGCTAGACAATAAGAGTTGGTTTCCTCTAGATGACAAGAGCCAGAGCTGGACAAACCAATAATTCACCAAACTCAGCAAAATATGTATCTTCAGTTTCACTCAACCGCTGTTCATCTGGCCCTGCAGTTGTAAAGGTCATCGCGACATCGGAATCGACCCATACCATCCGCTCTTCTTCGCCAGCAACGAGTATGTTTTTGGGGTATATATCTCGGTGGTGAATGTGAGCACCGCGTATCTGCTTCATGCCCTCTATTGCATGATGCTAGCAGGCCTCAGAATAGTTCTCGCAATTTAAACTTTCCGCATTTAAAAGGTATTCAAGTAGTATTGCTCTAGGGTGATATAAATCGTGCGCAAAATGTTGAAAAGCTGGGTAGAACGCGGTAGGGTCGACTCGATCAACGTGGCCGTAGAAGAATGTGCCGAATCCCCGCTCGCAGACACTGTGTTCCCTAAAATTCATTTAGGCGTTTAGTTCTCAGCAGAACCAATTAAGATCTCGACTATTCTCGGCAAATCCTGGATCCCCGTTGTCGTGAAACCAAGTCGTCAGTAACAAGCAAAGAGCTAGTAGCCTCAGCTACTTACAAGCTTCATAGCACATTTCCGCCTTTCGAATTCTATTTCAAACATTATGGAGACGCATCAAAACAATCGATTTCTCTTACAATCCGTATATTGGCAGGGAAAACGTCCAACGAGCCATGATCTCTGAGCGTATCGTCGTTTGAAGAGTCCATTGAGATGTGGTCGGCTTCAACGAGCTGCCTGGCTCTCTGATGACGAATAAACTCACGTGAAGGACCAGAACGAGCGTAATAGAGGGAAGAACTATCTGGCCGAAATCTACCCCGCATCTTCTGGCCGGGATCTCAACAACGGATCCATGAAAACGATGACATAGAAGTGTATTTGTCAAGGATGACTATTCATACACTGGCCCCTCGCCCTAGGGCGACATTCAGGGGTCCATTATCTCGACTCCCTATGAGCATATGCACGCTTTGATCGTGAACCATTACTTTCCCGATGAAATTAGAGCCCCGTCAAGTCCTGTCAATTTTAAACTGCCCCTAAAAGAATAGACTAGGAAATCTGAGGTCTTGAGGTAGTTTATATATACAACTGGGACTCTTTAGGAATCTCAATGCTTCCACGATCACTCATTTTAGTTCAGATATATTCATGTTATTAGACATGCCATCAAGTGCCATCGCATGGATTACGTGTCATTACAGTACCCTATCATATCCCCACAAACCATTCTTTCTAACTAGTTCCATGTTAGGCCTAGCGTGACTACACTTTGGGGTTGCAGAAAGAATCGAAGAGTGCAACTGGTGACACCAGTATCCGGAAGCCCTGTAATTATCTTCTGACTGCAGTAGAGAGAATAGAGAGGCCTTTGCGGGCAAATCTCTCCATAGTGTGCTGCCTAAGCTGACTAACAGTTGCCCGAGATGAGAATGCTAATTGCTTATATTCATATTGTTCGAGTTGGTGGATCCCATTCAATGACCATCTACTGTCGTGGCACACGTCATTGTCATCCTTTGCGTCATGTTTGTGAAAGATCTCCGGATTGTGCACAATTTATCTACCAGAAACATGTAAACAGAGATCCCTAATTGCTATACAGTGGAGAAATCTCTCTAGTTCACCGATAGCCCCTACCTAATACGATAGGGACGGTGGGTAAGGGAAAGGCCAAGCTTCATAGAGAAGGCTTGATCTGAACAAAATAGGTTGCCAACACTCAAAAAGGCTTAACCTCCGCAAGTTAACGCGGTTCCAGTGGACACGACGCGTTGGTCCGTGGGGCGGATTCGTTGAGAATTGACGAGGATCCATCTCGTCGATCCTCGAGTGGGGAATGTCCAGATATCCCCGACATGTTCTTGACCGGTAGTTATCTACCCTTGCAAAGTAGCAAGGGACCATTAATTACACGCTAGGAATAGACCGCAGATACGATGTCTCATAGCAGATCTCAAAGAACATGCTACATCACATTTCCACTAGCGATCTCTGTAAGACGATGTGGGTGCTGAAGGCACTCAATAGACCTGTGACAGGTTTGTCTCGAGGTGGGTTCTAAGCTTCGGATCGGCAGGGGAGTGGCAGATTTCACGAAACGCCTCACGCGTCATTTCAAGACGATCGGACAGCCGACCATGTATGAGGATTCGAACTGCTTATTCTCGGAGCAGGGCAGACCCGACGGGCTCCCGAGGTGGCTTGGTGATGCGTGAACCCGATACTAGCTATAAATGCGTCTTCAATTCACTATGGCCGACAGGATAGACAGAACCACTGCTAGCCCTCATCCCTCCATCTTCTACAACATGGGTCCTTCACTGGGCCTTGCCGCATGGGCATCACTTCTAACTGTCGTCAGTGCGCAATTCAAATGCAGCTTGCCTGCAGGTGATATCTGCGCCTACGAGAACGCCACCACCTATGCGGCAGTCAATGCGCCCAATTGTACCACCAGTGGCCTACAAGCCTTCCTGAACAAGCTTCCTGGGCTCGAAGGAACAACACTGAGTGTGCCATACGCGTTTTACATCGACAGCAATGCAACTCTCGACGAGTTCACCGACTATGTCGGCGCCTCGACATTTACTACCGATATTCCATCTGTATGTGCGTTTCGAGTGAACGGAACAAATGAACAGGGCGCGACTTGGGGTTTGGGAGCGCTTCTTCCCACCCACTTCAACGGCAGTATCATGTATGTATAACCCCTCATGCATCTGCAACTTGAACTCCTTACTGACGACCTCCAGGATGGCAGCCCCCGACTCCGGACTCTCATGGGGTGTAGCAAGTGCAGGTCTGCGCTACGCCTTCGCCACCTTCGCCTCTAACTCCGGCCACGACGAGCCAGACCACACTCCCGGCTGGGAGACCCCCAACGGTCTACTCGATTGGAGCCACAGAGCACTGCACCTGTCCACCGTGACCGCCAAAGCCATTGTCAAAGCCTGGTACGACGTGGAACCCAAATACAGCTACATCACCGGCTGCTCCGATGGAGGTCGCCAAGTCATGAAGTCTATCCAGACATACCCCGAAGACTACGACGGTGCTATGGCGGGTGCCCCAACCTGGTGGATGACACACCAGGCATTCTACGACTACAAGCAGACAACCATCGGCGGCTCAGCCCGATCAAACTCCTCCATCCCGCCCTCACTGTACCCAGTCATAACGGATGAGGTCCTCCGCCAATGCGATCCCCAAGACAACCTCACCGACTCCATCATCTCGAATCCTCGAGGCTGCTTTTTCAACCCTGAAGCCCTAGCATGCAGCAGCAACAAAACATCCAACTGCCTTACCGCACCACAACTGGACACCCTCCACAAGATATACAACGACTGGACCACCTTCGACCAAGACCTCATATACCCGGGTGCGTGGTTCGGCAGCGAGCCCACCTGGAACACTACCTTCGGCAGCCCGCCCTCCAAGTCATGGTACATCGAGAACGTCCTCGGCTTCAAGAACTTCACAGCCCAGGACCTGACATACGAGATCATCGCCGAGGCAGACGCGCGTGACCCCGCCCACGCAAACGCAGACGACTTCGACCTGTCGCCTTTCTTCAACAGAGGCGGAAAGTTCTTCCACTGGCACGGCATGTCGGACTCCGTCGTCTCACCGGGTTCCAGCGTGTACTACCACCACAAAGCAACGTATGCTGCGTTGGAGAAGGTTATCGATATCGATCAACATTATCAGCTTTACTTGATTCCGGGATTAGAGTGAGTCATTCTCCTCCCCCAACTTCAATCTTCAACGAAACCCTCGAGGATATAAAATCTAACCAAATGATAAGACACTGCACCGGCACCCCCTCCTGCATGGCCGCTCTATGGTACCTAGCCGGCCCATACCAAGCCGGGAACTTCTTCAACTCCACCCCCGCCAATGTCGTCGACAACTACGTTCATGACTCTTTCCTCACGCTTATCAGCTGGGTGGAGGGTGGTCATGCCCCGTCGTATATGGTTACGACGAACTTTGAAGATAACGCGGATCCGACTACGCTGCTTCATAATCGGAAGATTTGCCCGTAAGTAATTGTTTCACTCTCATAGATAGAATAGGTTGCTAATTGGGGGTTTCAATTAGGTACCCGAAACAGGCGAACTGGACGCAAACTGGTGTGTCGATTCATGAGGATTACTGGGATTGTATCTATGTGTAAATATGGGTGGAGATGTGGTATTTGCGGAGATTGGTTGTGTTCAAAGTATTTATGCTTAGATACAGATAGGATATAACTGCTATAGACGCTGAGGCAGAACAGATACTCTCTGATTCGCTGAAACTGTACTATATGTAGTTGGAACGCTAATAGTGTAAGATCAGAAAGCAAAGAATAAACTAAAATAGATAAAAGCAAAACCGAAAGAAAAGCCAATGTAAGAATCGCAGTTTTTGTTCAAGGTATAATCCAGCCATTTATACATCCAAAACGCCATGCTCTGCGCTCATGCAACTATCAGACGCATTTACAAACGTATATCGTATCATGATCCAATCCACTTCCATAAAACACTCAGTAGTTGATCTCGGTGAACCGGTTTACCGATGCAATCGCTCATGCCCTTGGCAATGTAGCTTTCGGCATCGCCCTGCATAGCATTACCCGTGACTGCGATAATCGGCATTTGTAGGCCCATGTCGCGGATATGCCCGGTGGCGACAAGGCCGTCCATGATGGGCATGGAGACATCCATCAAAACGACGTTGTACGATAACGGCTTCTTCTTTATCTTGGAAAGTGCCTCAGCACCATTCCAGGCCCCATCCACTCGCGTGAAGCCGATGCTGCGAAGAAGTTTCAGCATCATGGTATGGTTGACCATGTTGTCCTCAACCAACAAGACATGTTTGTGGGGTGCAATGGCCCGCATTTTATCGCAGAGATCATCACCCACGGGTGTTAATACAGGACTGCGGGGCTTTAGCGACGTAGTAATGGATCGTTCTCCTAATTTGGCAGTAAACCAGAAGACACTGCCTCGGCCTTCGGGATTTGGCGAATATCCCACTTCTCCGTCCATGAGTTCGGCCAGGCTTTTGCAAATGGAAAGGCCTAATCCAGTCCCCTGGTATTGTCGAGTGCTCGAGTTGGCAAAGCGTGTGAACGGGGTGAATAGGGTATTCAATGCATTGTCAGGAACGCCAATGCCGGTGTCTGTGACCTCTGTACGCACTAGGCAACAGCCCTCCTCTTGTTCATCCGGAGAACACACTGTGGAGACCCGAATATGACCGCTCTCGGTAAACTTGACGGCATTGCCGACTAAATTCTGCAAGATCTGGCGATATCGTAGGGGATCCCCTCGAAGATTTCTGGGAAAGTCAGGTGCAATGTCCGTAGTCAGTTCCACGCCGCTCTTCAATGAGGGGCGACAATTTCGTATGACCGCTCCGACCACATCGTTGACATCCACGACGTCAGAATGTAGCGAGAAAGAGCCAGATGATAGTTTCGAGTAGTCGAGAACGTCGTTCACAGTCTCAAGTAAGAGTGACATAGAGTCTTGGATGATTGCGGCATGTTCACGCTGTGTCGCAGACAAACCTGTGTCGGCCAGCATAGTCATGGCAATTTTCATCCCATTCATCGGAGTTCGAATTTCATGGCTAATGTTAGCGAGAAAGTCTGTTTTGAGGCGTGATGACTCTTCGAAAGCAGCAATTATGCGCGCCTCTGCTTCTTTGCGCTCGCTGAGATCTCGGGTCACTTTGACAAAACCAACATGCTGTCCAAACTGGTAGATGGGGGTGATAAGTACGTTGGCCCAAAACCGCGAGCCATCGCGCCGATACCTCCACCCCTCATCCTCCATACGGCCTTCTCGCAAGCACACAGCAAGACCTCTTAGAGGTTTTCCTGCCAGGCGATCCTCCGGGCTGTAAAAGACAGAGAAATGTCTGCCAAGGATCTCCTCTGCTGGCCATCCCTTCATAATGGCAGCGCCCGGGTTCCAGGTGGTGATATTGCCCTGTGTATCCAGCATGAAAATGGCGTACTCTTTGACAGTATCCACGAGGATCTTGTAGGTTTCGTTTGTATAGGCATGGTTAATGCTGGCGGTCTCCACCGATAGCTTGTGCGCCTCCAACACAATGTAAAGCAGGGTAAAGTCGTTGTAAATCGGAGTAACTCGGAGGTTGTACAAAGATTTATCGCTAGACACAATTCTCTCGACTACCTGGATTTCCTTCGTCGAGCAGGCTGCACGCAATGCGCCACAGAGGATAGCGATATTAGGGGCGGGTACGGCAGTAGGGTCGAGATCACGAACGGTCGCATGCAGCATGGACTGGCGCGTCTTGCCGGATAAAGCGAGATGACTATCAGAGACCTCGACGATGGTCATAGATGAATCGAGGACGATAGTGGGAATCGGAGTATGGCGATAGATGCATGCCAGAGAGGGAGACACCGCTGGGGAGTCATCGTCGGGCACACGTACACTGTGTGTTGTCGCGGACTTCTCCTCGAGGGAAAGAGCGGCCAAATGGCCGTCGAGGAACATTGCGGCTCGTTTGGATAGACATGAGAAAGGGAGAAGAACGGAAGCTAGTCATATTTTTTGTCCCTCTTCATCGCGTGGCGGAAAAGTCACTGTGAGTGGCTGAAACGCAGCCGGCAGCAGAACCACTCATGACGCTTCGACTGCGCTGCCATTTGATTGGTGCAACTTAACTTGGAAGCAGCTTCCGATTCACACTCCAGGCGATCGCCCCTGACATCCCCGCCTCCACCCATGGAGTTAAGTTGTCTAGGCCATCCGAGAGCAGCTGATGAGTAGTCTAACTTGTGTTCGCTTAGAGCGAGAAAAGTCCGTTCTTGGTTGACGGGTGGCAAACGACTGACTATGTACCTCCTCCGTATTCATGCATATCTGCTTCATCGTGCGGGGACAAGGAAAGCATGGCAGTTGTGTTGAGTCTTTCAAAACGAGTCGACGAGGGTGTGGGTTAGAACTAGCTGCTACTTTTGAGGCGTTTGAGCTGTCTGAATTGTTTGACAACTGCCGGTGGCCCCATTGGGCCCAGCCATCGGAGCACCAAGCCACCAATCATAGCGCCGTCGGTAGCTATATCTTGCTTGCTAGAATGGTTACCATGGAGCGGAGCAGGTTTGGCTACCCGCTAAACCTAAGCTGCTAGGTTTTCATCGCCGAAAAGAGTAGGACCACAAGCCTGGGACGACCGGGAATCCCGGTCGGATAATCTCGGCTACATTAAGCCCGCCCAAATATCGCGACACTTCCGTAACATTAGACGAAGCTACTTATTCTATGCAGGAAAGCAAAATGGCACTCTCGACCATAGGCCACAGTAGTCTGGTCCCTCTATACCCTTCATGTTGCGGAATGGGGAATGAGTCCGCTCTTAAGCCATGCATTGCTCGATTGAGACCGTGTTCATCGGCTTGGAGCGCCAGAGTTCAACTCGAGAAAAAAATATACTGTTTCGACATCACATGCCACATGGACCAAGTTTCTTCTGTTGTCTATTAAGCCACATTGGCATGATTGTTGTATTTGATGCCCGACGCACGTCGACTGAGGACTTACTGTCACTGTGGCTGCTATCGATTGGGGAATCATATGCGTACTACTAGACAACATCTATACTAGTATCCTCGCGCCCGCACTTTGTCCGTTGTACTCCCAGTTATGAAGCGTACTTAATTAAGGAATGCGGGGAGATAAATAAAGTTCGGACATTAACAGATCATACTAACATCCGGGGGACTTGCCCAATTGGTCATGTACCACGGCATACACATGCTGTCCTTGGGCGAAAGTATGGGGTTATAAGTCAGTTTTAGTGTCAGTACGACCATCTGCACGGGCGCGCTTTCTATAAGCGTGTCAGAAGCTTAATTATGTGAACCTAGAACTATATTATTGTCCACTCTCTCCATATCAACGGTCAGTGGGTAGAAGCTGCTCCAGGAAAGCGCTCCAACGTAACAGGTACATGAAATCCCAAATGTAACTACAAGCATTTTATCCAGTTGTTAACCAAATGATGCGTTGTTGTCACCAGATCCAGAGAATCGGGGGGTTGTCGGATTATACCCCGTAGCCAGCCGCTATTGATGCTGAGCAAGCAATTCAGTTTGCAGCTGCAGCGCTGGCGCTCCTGGACCGGTCGTAACCGTAGTCGGATCCTTCGTCTATGGTATGAATTGGCTGTTGAAAACAAAGAACATTTTAACCCGTCTCCTCACTCTGGAGAACGACAAGGTTAAGCCGGCTGCCACTGGGGAGGTGCTCTTTGCAGCAAGTTTCTTCGACTAGTCTGCTGGAGAAGCAACCCGAATTTACGGAGATGCTATCCCATACAGCTAGCCCGGTTTCGGATTCCTGTTCCGAAAGAGCCAATTGGTGTCTCTGGGCTAAGCTACCTCTTATCTTGTGTACTATTGGGCAAGAAGGGATTATCCATACTATGAGAACATGCAGTGCGAGTGAGCCGTTGTGTATCATGGATTGATATTTTTCCTAATATAAATAACCTTCGTGTACATGATATAGACCCATTCGCCTCAAAACACGCTGCAAAATCCCATAAAGAAATCCCAATAACAAGTCACCGGCATCTCAAGGTAAACTGTCTATCCGCTAATTCTGTGACTGAAACTGATGAACAATGGTAGCAGCCGCGCCTTCAAAAGTGATACCCCCCAAAATCATAAAAACAGGCACATCAACGCTAAATGTCTTGCCAATCCAGTTACGCACCTCAATGGCAGACAGCGAGTCGAGACCATACGAATGCATGGGTCGATGTAAATCCAGTTGGCCTTCTGGCACGCCCAACAGCGCCGTGATACGGGCAGCGAGTGCTTCGCTGACAAGCTCAGTGCGCTCATTGACTGACGTGGCGGCCGCCAATTTAGCAACAACATCCTTGGCTTGCCTCCCAGGCCTTGGACCGTGCACATTGTCCACATCCCCAGCCTCGCCAGCCGGCAATGGAATATGATGCATGTGCTGCCAGAACGGCTGGCTCAACACAAACGAGACTTCTTCAAGGTGGCCCCAGTGAGATGGTGGACGAATGCCGACAATGGGATGGCAGGTGCTTGGGTGCGTGGCCAATTTGTTGGATGGATCACAGAAGATTTCGAGTAGAGCCACAATGTCGCGGATATACGTAGGCGTGTATTTAGCCGTTTCGTGGATTTGTCGTCGTCCGGTTGCGTACTCGGCATTGGTGACTAGGTAGCCTGCGTCGGGTACAGCGCCGAGGTTGAAGGAGATGGCTCGCTGGCCTTGGGACACTCGATAGCGCGCCAGAGCATCTTGGTAAGTGTTTCCGGCATTATATGGTGCTAGAGAGCCGGTACCCAAAGTGCCCATGACGGATGATAGCATGATGAAGAAATCCATATTCGATGGAAGCATGGCGTGTAGGTTCCAGGATCCTTGTACCTTTGGCTGCAAGGTACCCTTCCAACTAGAGAGTGATAGTTCGGAGAATATGCCCTCCTAATAACCTTGTCAGTAATTTCCCTTAGCGTACAGTGGTTCATTGATCGATCTTACCTCCATGACCATGGCGGCTTGAATACATCCCTTGACTGGTGGCATAGTTGTTGAGTACTTGTCGAGTAGCGCTCGCAATGCACTGGGATTCGTGACGTCGCACGCTGGCATTTCACATCGGACACCGCGATCTTGGAATTCCAATGCCAAAGACTGCGCCTCGTGTGTCTTGGGACCGGATCTTGATAGAAGAACAAGATATTGAGCGCCATTATTAGCCAGCCATCTTGCTATGGATCGGCCGACGCCTCCAAGACCTCCTGAGATAATGTACGTCGCATTCGAGTCAATATAGTCTATCTTCTTGCGCATAGAGCGAACCTGAAAGAGCTATTAGTATATGTATATTCTAACATGCAAGGTATGCGTGAAATGAGTCTGTACTCACGTTGACCGTATCCGATTCTGTCAGTTGCACTACAGCAGCATCCGAGCTGGTAGACTGCTTCAAAAACGCCATTATTTCGTCCAGTCGCGAGATTGGAAACATAGGGACCTGGCCTCGTGAATCTAGAAGCAACTGCAAGATGGGTGTAGAAACAGCATATTCCAGAGACTCTTGCGACACCTGAAGCTCGTCGCTAGCCATGAAAGACACGTGAAGAGAAGACGAGCCAAAGCGAAATGCTGACTGGGATGCGTCATCGGAAACGAGCACCACTCGCCCATTCTTTTGCATCATGCCTCTGAAAGTCTGCTCTCCCAGTCCCTTTGCGACTGAGGTGGTGGCGAAGACAATATCAAATTTGGGCTGAAGGTCTGACCATGTCGAAGAAAAGGCGGTGCCCATAGCAGATGTCGGTATGATGTATTTTTCGGGGATATTGAATTTTTTAGAAGCCCGCTGACAATCTTCAATGCTGTCTGCTGTCAACCATATCTCCGCAACACCCTCATTTAAAAGCAAGCCTACTGCGGCTTCTCCTAAAACGCTGCAACCATCCATGACCAAAACACAATCGCGGTTTCGTACCCGACCTATATCCGACAGAGCATGATGAGCTGTCAAGACAGAAGGAATAGCCCAGCACGCGTCTTCAAAGGATAAATAATCTGGTAGCTTAACAGCGGATGAGGGCTGAACGGCAGCAACGGAGCGGAAACAGTTCTTGTGTACAGCAAAAACTCTATCCCCTTGTGCAAAAGAGGATCCAGGTAGTGTTTCTGTTACGATTCCACTGCAGAAGTTGCCAAGCTGAGTGCCCTTTGGAGCCAAACCTCGGGCGGCTAATTGGTCTTGATATTGAAGCGAGATAGCTCTGACGTTAATTGGCAACGCATCTTCAATAATTGGAGCCGGTACCTCGACCAGGTAGGGAATGCCGTTATTGTCTTCAGGGCAAGCCGCTGATAGCTCAAAGCTTGCATCGATGGCATTGGCAGAGGTCATTTGCCAGGGCAAAATGTTGGATTCCATATTGGCTTTCAGGTATCTCGCCTCGACAAGACGGCGAGTATGTAAGCAGCCATCTACCTCAATGTACTCTTGTTCGTATTCCTGAGATGGCTTCCGAGACAGCATCTCCCGTACAATCTGCTTGAGATGATGGATGTGGCCTGAGGTGCCATTGCGATTCATATCGAGGGCAACAGAGACCAGATGTAGACTATAGTTCTCGGCTCGCAATGTTCTTGAAAGACCATCAATTAGCCCATATTCTGGTGCTGCCGACGCTCCTCCTCCTGCGGAGACCCATAGCATGCCAGGACATGCCTGAGCAAGGACTTTCAAAACCGCCCAATCCTGCTCAGTCATTGAGCTGAGAAATGGTGCACCGTAGTCAACCAAAGCAATGCAAAGACGGTTTGAGCTGACGGCGAGACTCGTCGATGGTGCAAGCATGTTCGCGTCCACGATTTCAAGGGGCTCAGTAAACATGTCTTGTAAGGATGTAACCAGAGACGCGGCAAGAGATTGCTGTTGAGGGAAATTGTTCAGCTTGACGATGGTACCGCTATGATACGTTGGT